ACTGTGCCAGGCCCACCACGTCCCACCATGCTGAACACCAAGACAGCACGCTGAACTACAGCAAGTACAGCTGTGCCACACTTCGCACCATGACGCAGGACAGCGTTGTGCCAAGCCATACCAGGCCACACACCCCCGTGCCAATGGCACCATGTAGTGTCTAGCTGTGCTGCCCAGCACAGCCCCACTCTACATGGTGCCATACAGCACCCCCCGAGCAGCACTGCGTGACACTACAAAGCATCCCCACCTCATCATGAGGGTTTTGTAGACAGAATCACGGAGCTGGAAGACGTGGTTGCTGACAGCCAGGTTGTGCTGCAGGCGGAAGGGCTCCAACACCACGCCATCCCGAACCGGGAAAGTCAGTCGCAACTCCTCGCCGGGCGCTGGCCCTGTGGTACACCACCATCAGGGAAACCCACACCTTCTCCCCCCATGCCCCAGCCACACCCCAGCCACGCCCCAGCCGTGCTCCTCCCACTGCACGAGGATCCACCTTGCAGGAAGCCCAACCTCCACCACGCTACCCTGCCCACCCCGGAAACTGCACCCCATGCATTGGAGGAAGCTCCTCCCACCCAAAGTGACCCCACCCCTGGGGGCCACCCCACTCCCACCGCTGTAGAGGAAGCCCATCCCACCGCAGATTCCTCCCACTAGCCCCAGGAAACCGCACCCTATCCAAGCCCCTCCCGATCCAGGTGGTCCCACTCTTAAAGCAGAAGCCCCCCACCAAACCAGCACTCCTGATAAGGCCCTGCCCCCTGAGCCACACCCTTTTAACAAGCCCCTCCCACTAGTCACAGGCAGCCCACCCCCTGCCTCAGTCAGCCCCCAAACCCTGGCAGTGGTCACGCCCTCTTCTCTGAAGCCTCTCCCACCCTCCATGTAAAGGGGCAAAGGCCACGGAGCTGTCAGAAGTGAGGTCTACACCGGACTGCTCGAGGCATGGGGGTCATCTCTGTGAACGCCCCCCTCACCCACATCAGGGACACCCACCTGAAGGGGACGGGTGCAGGGGGGCAACGCTGGGCTTCATGTCTGCCAGGAAGGGCGACTTGACATCCTGACCAGGGGACGCATAGGCGGGGATGCCACTGCCTGGTGTCATGGGCGGCGTGGGGTTCCCGGCCAGCGGCGAGCTGGGGTACCCCGGCAGTGACCTGCCCGGCTGTAGAGGCAGCATCTCCCCTCAGCGTCCAGCCAGGCCAGCAGAGCCCCCACCCCACCCGCTGCCAGACTCACCCCACTGATGGCTGCTTGGCTGTAGGTGCTGAAGCTGGCGCTCTGCCCATTGAACTGGTCAGCTGGCTATGGGAGGAGGAGGATCTCCAGGGGCTGGCACCGGGGGATGGTGGACACCCAGACCTCCACCCCTTGCCCACCGTTCCCCCTGTGGTACCTTGTAATAGGGTCCAGCACTGCCTGAAGTGGAGAGGTACTGACCCATGCTCTGCTGCAGCCTGTGGCCAGGATATGAGGGGGACGGAGCGGAGGACTGGGGGGCGCTGGGGGCATACTGGGCACCAGCTGAAGCGTACTGCCCGCCCTGGAGGTACTGCTGTGTTGGGTACCCCTGTAGGGCCAGGGAGTCAGCACCAGTGGGAAAGGGGGTCACCGTATGCCATAGCCTTCACCAACGCAGCACTCACCTCACTAGAGTATGCCCGCTTGAGGCCCTGGCGGGGCAGCTGCTGGCTCTGGGGAGGTCCAGGGTAGGTGTGCTGAGGCACTCGCTGCCCACCATAAAGGGGGCCAGTCCCGGGTGCCCGCACTGGGCTCATGCTCACAGGGGAGACACCAGAGGGGGCCACAACACCTGCCATGCCAGCTGGGCTCATGCTGTTGGGGCCACGGGGTCCAGCATGGGGCAGGAACTGGCTGCTGAAAGACTGCCCTGTGCCCATCTGCAGCAATGAAGAGAGAAGGGTCATGGCAGGGCAGGGGGGGCCATCAGCTCCCCAGTTCTGCCACAGCCTGGCTCTTACCGCACCATACTGGCTCAGCTCCTGGCTCTGTTTCTCCTGCAGTGCAGCCACCGTTGCCGTGGCTGTGGCCGTGGCTGTGGCAGCAGCAGCAGCCACAGCAGCAGCTGCTGCTGCCTGGGTGAAATCAGCAGTAGCCCGGCTGGCATGCGAGGGGAGCCCCATCCCTCCGGGGCCACTCGGACCACCATTGTAGCTGGAGAACAGAGAAGCACGGAGGGGAATGCAGTGGCCCTGCATCAGGGCACACGCCAGGCCACAAAGCACAGGGCTGGCCTTACCTGGCAGCGAAGCCCGGCCCACTGGGGTAGGCGTTGCGCCCATAGACACTTGGCTGCACATACCCCTTTGCTGGTGCCCCCTCAGCAAAGGGCTGCTGTGGCAAGAATGGCGGTGAGCTCATGCCTGAGCTGGTGCCTGCCATGCCAGGCAGCAGTGGGGTGCTGGAACTGCTTCCCCCAGGGCCCATGGGGCTGCCAAAAACCTGGAGGGTGCAGTGGGAGGCAGTGGGTCAGGCAGGGGCAGTGGCATCCAGGTGCAGGGGATGCCTGGGGAGGGGGTGCTGCTGGTACCTGGCTCTGGGAGGGGTTGCTGACACCCCAGACAGTGGTTACCACGGAGAGGGATCCCGGTGGCTGATTGGTGCTTGGTTGCCAAGGAACAGCCTCGTATGCAAATGAACCATCACTAGAAAGAAAAACAAATTAATGAAGATGAAGGACAGAAGGATGGAGGGACAGAGGGACAGAGGGATTGAGGAAATGAAGAGATGAAAAATGCAAGGGATGGAGGAACAGACAAGGGGATGGATGCATGGATGGAAGGATGGAGGAATGGATGGATGGATGGATGGATGGATGGATGGATGGATGGATGGATGGATGGATGGATGGATGGATGGATGGATGGATGGATGGATGGATGGGCAGATGGATGGGTGGATGGATGGGTGGATGGAGGGACGCTGCCCCGGCGCCCACCCGTGGGGCGCAGGCGGCAGCGAGGGTTTCATGGGGTTCATGGAGCTCATCAGCGGGTGTGGGCTGGGTCTTCCGAGGCCGCGGCGGGCACTGCGGGACGGCGGCACCGTCTGTCACTGGGGCTGCGGGAAGCAGTGGAGTGGCGGGTGAGGGGCAGCCGCCCCCGGAGAGGCTGGGGCGGGGGGACAGCCCGTAGGCTTCGCGACCCCCCAGCCTCCGCGGCCGCAACTTGGCGTCCGGCCCGCGGCTGGCACGGGGCGCCGACCGGCACGCGCCGCCCCCGCTCCGGGCCGCCCCCCCCCGCTCCGGCCACCGCGACGTCAGACCTCCCCGGGGCGGCGGGCACCGGGGGCTTCCCCCGCGCCTGCGGGCGGGAGGAACCACGGGGACTTCCCGGGGAAGGGACGGGGCCCCTGGCTCGGCATTGCACCCCACCGCCTGGGGTATTTCCAGCCGGCCCCGGCAGCGGGGGGGCGCGGGGTCACCGGCGCTTTCGGTTCCTCCCGGCGCCGCGGGAGGGCGGCGGACACAGGGTCGCCGGGAGGAAAGACACGGACAGGGGAACACCCGCGGCGGGCCTGCCCCGGCTCCCGGGAGCCGCCACCATAGCACCGCCGGCCTCCGGCGCCCCTCGCCGGTGGTGACAGCCCCCTCCGCTCCTTCCCCGGCGGCACCGCAGGGACAGGCCCCGGGACCGGGCCCCCCCCATTGCCATGGCAACCACCCCCACCACCCCCGGCGCGGCGGGGGGGGCCCGCTGGGGCACCGCCGGCCCCGCCCGTCTCCCGCCCCGTCCCCCCGCCCGGCGCTCCCGCTCTCACCGCGGCGGCGGCCCAAGATGGCCCTGGCGGCGCGGGGCGCGCGCGGCTGCGCGGAGGCTGCGCGGGATCTTCAGCCGCGCGCGGCCGCAGCTCCGCGGGGGCGGGGCCCAGGGGCGGGGCCGGGCCGCCGCCGCGCACAATGGAGCCGCGCGCTCATCAGCATGCAGGCCCCGCCCCCGCCCGGCCAGGCGCGGATAGCCGAGCGCCGAGGAAGGGTGCGGGCTGCGGGAGGCGGGAGCGGTGGAGGGAAGCGGGGGAGCGAGCGCCCGTGTGCGGGGCGCCGTGGGCAGCGCGCGTGGGGCCAGCCACGGGCTGTCCCCGCACCACGGGCTGGCTGTCCCCGCACCACAGGCGCTGCCACCGCAGCAGCGGCACCGCGACATGCGTGCGCATGTGGCACCTCGCACACGTGTGCGCGTGGGGACGGCTTGCGCGCGGGGACGCGGAGCCCCACGCACCACACGGACGGTGCGCGGTGACATCGCGTGCGACCCCGTGTGTGACAGCACAGCCACGGGTGTGCGACGGGGCGTGGCACGCGAACCCCCCGACCTCCCTCCTGCAGCTGAAAGACCTGAGTCGCAAGGAAAAGTGGCGGTGGATTCTGAGACCCCAGCTGGGATTGCCCCCGTCGTCCCCACCCCCAAAGAACGTCCTGTGGGAGGACGCGGTGGGCTCTGGAGATGCCAACAATGATCCCCATTTGGGAGATCACCTCCCTCGACCCCCACTCAGGATCTCCAATGGGAGGACACACCACCCAGCACCCGCCCTGTCTGTCCCTGTTGGGGCTCACAGCTGGGGGATGGTGCAGACGCAGAGGGAAAAACATGCTCCCCAAGGACAGGCAAAACTGAGACAAGGGCACAGCATTCTTACACCTGCCTGGGCCCTCAGGACGTGCAGATGCACTATCTCCTTCCTCCAAGAGGCAGTGGCTGCACACAGGCAAGTCCAAGACTGAGAGGAACTGGGCAGAACCCGATTCATTGCACTGGACACCCCCACAGAAGAGCTATGGGGACCAGCCCCTCTTGGGGGGTATGGGACACCCCCAGAGAAGAGCCCCAGGGACCAGACATGCCAGGGGTCTGGGGGGCCATGGGTCTTACCCACCATGGCAGCACGCAGCCCCCAGACCCTCATGCTCCCAGGGCAGCTGCACCGGAGCTACCCTGGCATGAGGCAGACAAGGACTCCAGGCACCAGTGTGGGGTTGACAAGATCTGTAGTTGAGGGGGGGAGGCGAGCAAAGGACAGAGAGACGAACAGACAGATGGAGGAGCATGCTGTGCCGCGACAGCGCTCAAGCCAGGTCCTTGAAGGCATCGAGGTTGAAGGCTGTATCGAGTAGCCGCTGCAGCTCTGTCAGGTGGGTTTTCTTATTGCCAGTGGCAGGGGCAGCTGCTGGCTCCCGCCCTGCATACCTACCAGGGAGAAGGTGGGCCATGAGAAGGGTCTGTACCGACCAATTCCCTCCCAGCTTCTCACCACCCCCTGCGTCCTTACCAGACAGGCTTTCCACGGTTGATGGTGGTGCGAAGCCGGGGTTTGACATAGTCATAGTAACCCTGGTTCTTGTGCTCCTCCTGGCACCACACCAGCTCGGCAGCTGGGTATTTCTGGGCTTCCCGCTGGAGGAGGTCAAAGGGGAACGGGGAGAGCTGCAGGGGACACAGAGTGGTGTAACAGGAGACATGGGGCAGTGTCTCAGGGGCTGCAGAACCCCCAGCCCACAGATCATGGCGGCAGCAGGACCCTACTCACCTGCTCCACCCTGGTGATGGCCACATCGGCCTCCATCTGCCGGGCCTTGCGCTCACGGGTCAGGTCATAGTACACCTTGCCAGTGCAGAACAGCACCCGCTTCACCTGCTCGGGGTTCTGGGCTGCAGGGCCACTGTCAGGGATGACACGGAGGAAGTGGGTGCCTGCCAAAGAAGAGAACGGCACCCTGAGCCACAGCAGTTCACAGCACCGTGCCAGCAGCCACTGCACCCACATGCCATGCCAGCCCCTTCCAGGACCCTGAGAGGCAGTCAGTTGACCCAGGTATGGCACAACTCCCACCACAAACCATCACATGCCACTTGGGGCTACCAAATCCCAGCTGCAAGTGGCTGCTGATGGAGGAAGCACCATGGAGCCAAGTCTCCCAAGGGTGCCAGGCTCAGCCCTAATGAGGCTCTGGTGTGCCAAGAAGGCCCTGGCCTCACTCGGCCAGCCTCCACCATGGGGAGGCTGCTGCCAGGCAGACTTTACCCAAGGCGACAGACTCCTGCCCTTCACCCTGCGGAGCGGAGTGGGAGAACACAGGCAGCTCTGTGCTACTTGTACCTGGCAGCATGTCATCAAAGCTGGAGCGGGCTTCGGGGTGGCGCAGCAGTGACTTTGGAGTGAAGATTATCAGCTGGAGCGGGGGAGAAGAGGCAGAGCAATGTGGTCAGACCTGCCAGAAACACCTCCCCTACAAGCCAGTGCTGGAGCAGCCACCTGCCTGCCCTCCCCTGCCCATCCTGCCTGAGCAAGGGAGCAGCTGCCAGAGATTTGCTTCTCACTCAGCTGCAGTGTTCTGCTAGATTGGGCACCCATTCCCAGCAGCACCAACCATCCGAGTTAGGATGTCCCCTGGGGAAGAGGCGGAGGGGCTTCCAGCCTGTCCCATGGCTAGAGCTGACTGGAACTGGCTGAAGTAGGTCATGTAGTGTGTCTGTTGGCTTCAACAGCCCTGACCTCCCCGTGGAGTTTGGGAAGGGGTCACAGCCCTTGCAGCCCACATGAGACAGCAGCCGCACATCAAGCACCAAGCCAGTCCTGAGCACAATAAGCTCCTTGGCCAGGCAGCAGCCAACTGCCCATGTCTGAAGTGCAGGAAGAAGCTGCACCCAGCCCAATCCCAGTCCAGGGAAATATCCAACAGGAAGACAGCACCTTGCCTGGGCACCAAGCTGGGCATGGAGCTGCTGGCACTGACCGGTTTGCGGAAGGGCAGGAGGATCTGGCGCCGGAGGACGTGGAAGAAGTTGGCTGGAGTGGAGCAGTTCACGACAATCCAGTTGCACTCATAGAGCTGACGCACATCAAAGTCATCCAGCTTCTGTCTTGGCCGGCATGGGTGAGGGGATTTCAGGAAACACAAGGTACCTCTTGGCCTTGTGGCTCCAGTAGGAGGTAGAGGAGTGGTCCCCAGCCCTCCCTCCCTTCCCTCCCCTTCTCTCACTCTTCAGAGCACACAAAGACCCACAGAGATCTTGGAGAGGCTCCAGGGCTGTGCCCTCCACCTTGGTCTGGCCATAAGGGTGGCCAGCAACCCCCTCTCATGCCACTTTCAGGGCCACCTCTCCCTTGGACTATGCCACAGCCCCAGGTTCCATGGAGGTGCAGCCTGGGCACCAGGTTCAGGCCCTTTCCCCAGATCCTCCGGCCAGCATGAGACCAAGGCATCCCATGCCTCCTGCCATCAGCTCCCACTGTGCTAAGCCCACACAGGTGTTGCTGCCCTCCACTGAGCTCAATCCAGGGCACAGGAGGGCCAGGCTGAGCACCACACCATGGGGGCCACCACTCACAGGGAAGACATCAGGATCATCATTGCACATCTGCAGGAATCGCTCTGGGCGGGCAGAGGAGTGCTCGGGACCCTATGGGGACCAAGAAGGCAGAAGGTCATTGCAGGCCAAGGAGAGCATGAGAACCCGAAGTCAGGCACTGCCACATCATGAGCAGTGCCACTGCTGTCCAGGGTTCCACCTCCAGGGTGAGCCAGTCCTTACCATGCCCTCCATGCCGTGGGGGAGCAGCAGGACAATGCCGTTCTGCCTGACCCACTTGGCCTGCCCGGGACAGATGAACTGGTCGATAATGCATTGAGCAGTGTTGTGGAAATCCCCAAACTGGGCTTCCCAAAGCACCAGGGCATTGGGACTGGCCATGGCAAAGCCCAGTTCAAATCCTGAGAAATGGAAGAGCAGTGAGAGAGTTGGGTTGTCCTTCCAGAGTGGCATCACCCTGGGCAGTGAGCACAGACCCACTCACTCACCCAAGACACCGTACTCTGACAGGGAGCTGTTGCAGACAGTGTACGGAGCCTGGTTGGGCCAGAGGTGGTTCATGGGGATACAGGTCCTCTTGTCCACATTCTGATCATGCAGGACATGGTGGCGATGGCTGGAAAAGGGAGAAGAGTAATTTCATCATCAGCCTTTGGACCCCTTCCAGAAGGGCTGGAATTGCCTTTAAAGCCTCCAAAAGCAGGGCTTTACCTAAATGTCCCCCTCTCAACATCCTGGCCACTCAGGCGGATGTGGATGCCCTCTTTGAGCAGGGAGCCAAATGCCATGTACTCTGCCAGGGCCCAGTCGACTGTCCGGTTCTTCACCATCTCCCCACGAGTTTTCAGAATACGGCTCAAACCTGCCGGGACAGGAGCCGGTTCATAGGCAGCACAGGACAGAGCTCCAGTGACACCACGTTTGTTCCACAACCAGCCCACGGGTTTTGCTTGTTCTGGGGCCCCCAGAGCTCCAGGCAGGGTCTCAAGAACACAGCACCCAGGGAGAGGATCCCCACCTTTGACCTGCTGCCCACCCATATTGAAGCAGTCCAATATGTCCCTTCCTTCCAGGCCACATCCCAGCCCTATCTCACATCTCTCCAGAACAAATGGCCAGTCTGGCACAGCTTTCACAAGCTTCTACCTCCATGGATAGTGAAATCCTCCACTGGCACCGAGCTGGCCACTTGACCAATGTGCGTCAGGTCCTCTTCATTGAGGCCAGTGGAAGGGCAGGTCATGCTCCGGGGCTGCCCGTCCAAAGTGAAGAAACCTGTCAGAAAAGGACAAACATCATGCTGCAGGAGATGTGCCAGATCCATGGGAAGACCTCAGGACACAGACACCCTCAAGCAAAGGTAGGGACACCAGGAAGGGGAAGAGCACTACTAACCTCCCCTGTGGGGTGGCTTACTAGAAAATCTCTGCCATGGATCTAGAGAGGCCGGGTGCCTTGCTATGGCCTCCAAATCGCTGCTAGTGCCTTACCTGGCCAAGGTGAGTCCAGCCAGTGTTTGATGTGCAAGATCTTCTCATCCTTGGATCTGGCATGGGCCTCCTCACAAATCTTATCGTACTTGGCAATTTCCTCCTGAAAGGCAGAACCAAGAAAAACATTAATGGGGGAATCTCTAAACGAGGGTGTTGAGTCTGAGGACCTTGGTAAGCCTGCAAGGGTGCTGGAGGACAGAGGTGATCCCCACTGCAGGAAGTCCCAAAGCTGTGCAGTTCAGCCTCAGAGAGCACAGCCACAGCTGGGAGCCCTGTACCCCAAGGCATAGCTCTGCTATGCTCAGAGCTGGTATCTTGTGTCCAGCCCTACTGATGCTGAAAGGTGGTGCCAGGGCAAGCAGGGCTGATGGAACCTCTGCGCCGCGAGCTGCCCAAGCAGCAGAACCGGGACAGGATCTGCCCCAGGTACCTGTGGCCACAGCAATCCCAAGCACCGAGACCTGCCTGTGCTGCAGTGGCCTAGAGCTGCATGGCCTGTTCCACACTGATCACAGGGTGATCCTTGAACTAGATGTTCCTGCACTTTTCAGAGCTGGCACAGTTCAAGGATGAGCCTTGGCTCTGAACTCCATCGCTGCAAGATCTGCAGCACACACCCAACCCCAGCACAACTCTGCCACCTTTAGGTTACAAGCACAAGAATGTGATTCTTGTAGGCACATGTGGGCCCTTCATATAGGTCACACCCAGGTCTGAACCACGAAAGTAGTTTTCCCTGGAGATACCACCAGCAGTTTTCCCCTTTCAGGCCCCGCAGATGGTACCTCATACTCCGGCTGATTTACCACCCCCTGGGAAATCAGCAGCTCTGCGTATTTCTGCAACACTGGCTTCTGTTTCCGGATCTGTTTGTACATCAGGGGCTGCGTGAACATAGGTTCATCCATCTCATTGTGTCCGTTGCGCCTGTAACAAACCTGCCAGGAAAGGAAAGATGCCTGCCTGTGACCTACCACTCCAAAAGCACTTGGCAGTTACCTGGGTCATGTGAGGGAGGGTCCTAAACAGCCCAGGAGGGACCCAAGCACACCCATGGCAGAGTCCCAGCTTCAGGGACTTGTGCCACATTCCTCACCAAGTCCACCACCACGTCTTTGTGGAAGGTGCTTCGCCATTCTGCTGCCACATTGCAGACATAGACCACGGCCTCAGGGTCGTCTGCATTGACATGGAAGATTGGCGCGTTGACCACCCGGGCTACGTCGGTGGGGTATGGGGAGGAGCGGGCCATCCGAGGGTCTGTTGTGAAGCCAATCTGTAGCAAGTGAGGGCAAACAGGACAAGCACAGTGTTACCAACTACATTTGGGATACAGCTTTGCTATGCAGCTCCTTCTTTGGGCGCTGATATCACAGCTGGCTCAGCATGAGGCATCTGCACTTCACTGTCCCAGGAAATTGTCCACACAGCTCCAACAGCAGCTCAGCTGCAGCTGCTGGGCTGCGGATGCACAACCTGCCTGTCTCCTGTGTCTGGACACAGTGGCACATCCTGATACCTGCTGCAGCTGTGGGGACAGGCTGGTCTCAGTGAAACACCTCTGGCTTCCATGGCAGCAGACAGGCCCTGTCAGACCTCGTACGCTGAGTACCAGGTTGTATCACCTCTGCACCAGACAGGGCTCAAAAGCTGCTGCTGTTGAGCAGCTGTGTGAGAAGCACCCCCTGTTGACCCCAAGTTAAGGCTCCTGCCACAAACACTGGCAAAGGAAACAGCTGCTGCTGGTTCCAGCTACTCCCTGCCCCAGAGCCTGCAGTGACAGCTCTGCCAGGGACCCAAAGGCACAGGGTATTTGCTCCTCACCTGGTTGTTGACCACAACATGGACAGTGCCGTGGGTGGTGTAGGAGGGAAGGTCACTCAGGTGAAATGTCTCATACACAATGCCTTGCCCTGCAAATGCAGCATCTCCATGCAGGAGGATGGACATCACCTGGGAGAGGGTAAGCCGTGGTGGTCATCAGGGACAGAGAGCAGGGAACCACCAGGGAAGGGCCCAGCTCTCCTCCCCATGAGCTTTCAGCATCCCAGAAAGGACATAGAGCAGCTCATCAACACATCCTTCCCAGGGGATGCGAAGGGAGTCAGCCACGGCTGACACACCACTGGGCAGAGACTGTGGCCACCAGCACCCCCCCAGCAAGGGCAGCACACTTGGGGCACCCTGAGCAGATAGCAAAACAACAGCCGGTATGCCCCAGCTGGGCAGCAAGTCCCATTCCCAAACACATACATCCCACAGCAAAGCCTTTTTCTCACTGTGGGAAGAAGAGAAGAAGCCTGGTTCTCTCACACTTTCAGCCCAGAAGCCCCATGGGCAGCAGCGGGCCCAGGAGCTTCAGAGTCACTGATGTTATTTTGTCACCATCCCAGGGGCTGGCTAAGGACACTGCCTGCCAGGCGAGGACAGGATCAGTCTATTTATATCCAGCCCATGGGGTGTAGGAGGGAGGGAAGCACTTTGGATCTCACTTCCACTTTTTGGGATTGGAGACAGGTCTGCAATGAATCACACAGCAAACAGCTCCCCACAGCCCCTTCCCACCAGGGTGTGGAGAACTGCCTTCTGTTGCCAGCTCCCATTTTCCCAGTCCCAGGAATGGTTATCTCTAGTCACACTGAGATCCAGCTGCCAAGCCCTCCAAGGTGTGGTGCTTGGATTGCCTTGGGGTTCCCCTCATGTCCCTTCATGTCATGGGCTGTCCATTTGCTGTGTCCACAGCCCAGCTCAGTTCAGAGATGAAGAAAGCAGCAATGGGAGCCTAGGGTGGGCAAGCCCCTCCGAAACTAAAAGGGAAGGATGGGGGAGCAAAGCCAGGGTGACAGCAGGGGAAGGGGCCCATCAAACAGAAAGCAGACAAGTTACTTCACTTTCCCACCAGCCTGTCTCCACCAAAATCCATCCAGCCTAGGCCACGTCACTATACACATCTGAGCAGCACTCACCTTCTTCCCCTCCGTGTCTCCACAGTAAAACTGCTCTGCCTTAGTCTTGCCTTGAACAACAGGATCAGCTGCTTCCAAATGAGAAGGATTTGCCACCAAGGAAAGAGTGATGTTCCTGTCAGTGACGCGATTAATTCGCCGATGGTACATTCCCAGGTGGTACTTCACATCACCGGAGCCCTGGTGGAGGGGAGAAGAGAGTCACTCCAGGAGCATGAGCGGCTTTTGGGGCATGGAAGGAGACAGAGAAGTGCTGACCCCGAGGCTGGAAGAGGGGAGCGTTTTTTGGAGGTACTGCCAGAACACAGCAGGCATTCACTGCAGGAACTGAACGGGCACCCAGAAAAGCTTGTTCCAGATGCCAAACCACCACCAACTTCAGACATGCACCCAGCCCATCTAAATAGAGCTGAAGGTGTGGGGGATGAAGCAAGTGTGGTGGGCTGGGCAAAGACCCTGAATAACAGGTAACACTTGCTTGAGTTCTACCCACACTGCAGCAGCATGGCCATCCATGACACCATTCCCAATATGCAGCCACCTCAAGACCCCAGGCTGCTGCTTTCTCACCTTGAAATCCCATTGAAGTTCATGACAGGATCAAACCAGCCCAGCGTCCCAAAAGTCAAATCATCCCAGCTTATGAGGATGAAGCTTTGGAGCATGAGTTCATTGCAGTGACAGAGCTGCTTCTGGAGCTGCTTTAGAACCCCAGATGGGGACCAGGGGCGCAAATAAACTTCTGCTCCTGGCCACCTCTCAGCAACCACCCCAAAGCTGCTTCATGCCCTGGAGAGCCGCCAACAGCCAAGTTTGTGCTGGAGACAATGGCACATGTCACCCCCAAGACAGGCAAGGACAGACCCATACTGGTACCTCTACAAAGGCTCCCATCACTCAGGTGTGCTTGCAATGTGGAAATCCTTGCAACACCAATGCCACTGAGTAACACCAGAAGCAGTGGCACAATCCAGCCACAGCCCTTTTGGGACTGCTCAGGGACAGGCAGCAGCAGCCTGCTGCAGGCAGGGGAGAAGCTCACCTCATCAGCAGCCTCCAGCTTGGAGTCAAACTGGCAGAATATCTGCTCCAGCTCTTTCCTGATCACGTTGGCAAGAACATTCAGGCGTCCCCTGCAAAAGCAAGGCCACTGCTGACAGCCACTGAATGCTGATGGTGATCTACAACCCTCACTGCCACAGGCCACACCTCCTGTGATGGCTGTGGGGCCACCCAGATACAGAGACTCCCTAAGAGCAGTCTGAAGATCTCCCAGCACAGGGATGGGTTGGCCAACACAACATCCTGCATACTTGCTGAGATGCCCCAGGATGGGTAGGTGCTGGGATTCCAGCATGATTCCAGCTCTGACCTCAAGCCACCACCCCTCTCCAGATGAATTTACAAAGAAGCTGGAAAGACCCTGATGAGCAGAGAGCAGCCTCTCAGCTGAAGGCCTGAGCTCTTCAGCTGAGGCTCATCACCAACCAAGATCAATTTGTGCCCTCCAGTACCAAACCCCAGCAGCATCCCTCCACCTTCTATGCGCACCAAGCAGCACCATGGCTAGAGGCAAGGTTACCTGTGGGGCATTCCCATGATCACATAATCCACTCCCTTCTCACTTGACTTATCAATAATGGTCTTTAAGGCTGGGATCAGCACTTCACATCCCTCCAGACCAAAACGCTTCTCTGAAGACCATTTCCGATGGAGGAACTCCTCAAACCTAAGAGGCAAAGGGAGGGAGGGAATCAATGAGGGCAGAAAGCGGAGAAGGGACAGGGGCTGCACCAAGGGAGCCACAGCACTGACTGATGCTCAAGCTGGTACCATGCAGTGCACAACAGTCACTTCAGTGTCTTCCCAGAGTTCAGCTGGCCATTTCCCCCCACTCCAACACCATGCCGCACTTAATCCTTATTTTTAGACCTTTTCTTTCAGGATCATCCACATTTTCAGGCTGTTTGCCAGCACCTCAGCCTGCCACACTGGCAGCTCAGCTGTGTCAACCTGCTCATTAAGCTGATGGCAACAGAAGATGCCAAGATGTGACTCAGCTGGTGACTGCATCACTCTGGATGGGAGCAAACCTCCTGGGGAAGATATGGAGAAGGTGAAGCCCCCCGCAGGGTACCTGGTAGAGCGGACCAGCCTGGCCAGCAGCGTGCGCTTCTCTTCATTGGTGAACTGCATGATACCTGGGGTCTCAAACTTCTGCCGGATCCACTGGCACTGCTCCAGGTCGTTGATGAACATGAACTCCACGCCAATGTGCTGGCAGTATGCCATCTGCTCCAACCGGAAATGAGGGGCCATCAGACAACAGCCAGGGCTTCAGCACCTCAAACCCCCAAAGGACTGGCACTTGCAGCACCCTGCTGGCTCACAGGGCCAGGGGCTCCTCATTTCCTCGTTTACCCTTTCAGCCAAACAGCCCTTCTATGCCAGCAGAGACATCAACCCTCATGCCTGGCAGCAGGAGGGGGATCCTAGGGGAACCTAGCTGCCAGCCCTGCAACAGCCCCACTTCAAGAGCCTTGCTTGAGTTGTATTCCCAGGAAAAGGGATGCGGCAGGACATGTTTCAGTACGCTGCAGGGCAGCTTTCAGTATGCTGCAGGGCAGCTCGGACCATGCACATGACTCAGCATCAAGCTGTTTAATTCCCCTTCCCTGAGGGGCCCACAATCATTCCCTCAAATCCTTTACATCCACCTCAGAGGAGAGATTTTCCCTCTTCACAGCATCACTGTGAGCAGTCCAAAATTCTGTATCACAGGGCAGGGGAGAATCACAAGAAGCTCCTCCCACAATGAGGAGCCCTTTCCTGCAGATGGGCTAAGATGCTGGCACAGTTTTGCTTCTTCCAAGGTCTCAGCAGAGATCATCTGAACAGCCTGCAGCATGCCTGAGCTACTTGAGATCAGTCCAAGCACAGGAGGGGATGAAATTTGGCAGGAAAGGGGAACTGCCTGTACGAGCTGGAAGCCCCAGCCCCAGAGGTCTCAAACCTGCACCAAAACCCTCTGATGTATGCCCATGCAGGACAGCAACACTGCTGCAGTGCCTGAAGAGGGGATCACAGGCCTCCAGCCCACTCCAGTGCTCTGCAAGTACTAGCTGCTGTTTCAAACTGGAAAGCATAGCTGGAGAGGTTACAAAAAAGGCAACATCCAGCTGCCTGGGTTTGCTCCACCTTGAGCAAACCAAGTGCATTGCTGCAATGCAGCAGAAAGCTGGAGACAATCAGAGCTGAGCGGGTTACTCGAGGTGACTCTTGTGAGTGGGGCGAGTGCTGAGAAGCAGTTCCCAAACTTAAAATCTTAAAATGTGCAGGCTGACCCAGGACTTTCCAAGGACAACTGCTCTGCCCCTGCCCCTGGCTGCACACAGATCTGGCGAGACCCCTGCCCTCCTCACCTCGAGCCGACGGATGATTTCCCGGAGTGGAAGAGCTGATTCATTTCCACCGATGAAAGTAGTTGTGGGCAAGTGGAAAACTTTGTCGAGGTCAGATTCATCCAGACCATAAAAGCCTGCAGGATTTGTCATGGGTGGGAGAAGCAAGAGAAAGAAGGAAGGAAGAGGGACATGGATACCATCACACAGGGACCAGGTACGTTTGGGAGAAGTGGGAAAGGGACAAAACAAAAGCAGCATAAAAAAATAATAAGCATGGATGGAGGATAAAAAATAATAAGCATGGAGGTTTATATGAATAAAAACCAAACCATAATTAAACAAAAAGACATTAAGCACAGAACAATGAGTTATTATGGAAGGCACCACAGGAAATGTACCACAAAGCAATGTATATGCATGGAAATGGGCAATTAAAATCCAGGGCGAGTCAGGGAGTTTGGAACCCCAAGAACACAAAAAACACGCAACAAATTATAACAAAGGGAAGAGAAAAGAAACAGGAATTGAGGAGTCACCAAGCACATCAGGGGTATCAGCACATGGCATGAATTAAAAATGGAGAGTCAACACAGAGAAGGAAACAGCTAAAACAGACACAACCAAACAGACAAAACCCCAAGGAGGAAGAGACAGAGAAGCAAGAAAGAGAAAAGGCAACAGGGCTCTGATGGACTCTCCTGAATAGCTCAGCCCGGGAGCAGGGTGGCCAGCAGTCATTCAGGGGTTTGGCTGCCCAGGTACCCTTTCACCCCAACCAACAGCTTTTTAATCAGAGCTTTTGCCTAGCTCTGTTCAGTAAACCTCCACCCTTTGGTGCTGGCAGCTGATAATTTGGAGGCAGCTCCTCCTACTCATGGTATGGGGCTGTGGGGAGCTGAGCTGGGCCTGGAGAGGGGCCAAGCAGGCCTCAAGAGCTGGAGATTGGGATTTAGGGATGCAGGCGAGTCCTGCTGTACCCCAAAGCCATCAGAGGTGCCTCACTACCTGCTGAAGCTCATGGTTGTCTTTGGGGAAACTGAGGCACAGAGAAGGAGGGACAGTGCTGATCTCGCTAAACCAATCAGAAAGGCAGAAGCAGGTCCAGGAACTGGAGAGTCCCATGACCCTTCTGAACCAGGAGCTTGGACGAAGGACTCAGTCCAGAGCCCTGGCACCTTTTTCAGGCTTCTGCTCATCCCTCCCGCATTCCCAACAAGGCCTGGTCCCAAGGCGTTTCCTAACCCCAGGGCAGAAGCTGCAGCAGACACACATACCACTACTCCTCCCAGCTTCCTCCAAACCAGCCCAGGACCCCAGATTTTAGAGAGGGAGCTTTTAGAGGACCTGTTCTTATAGAGAGGGGATGGGGAACACCATCTAAGCATGGCAGGGCAGTGTGACCCACCTTCCTCAGAGGAATGGGAGGCAAAACCTGGCCCCTCCTGAGCTGGTCCCTTCAGTGAACTTCATTTTAAAAGTCTCTCCCTTGCTGACTGGTCAGGAATGGACAGTGAGCTGTAGACAGCCCAATCCCTGGAAGTGTTCAATGCCAGGCTTGGAGCAACCTGGTCTAGTGGACTGGGTAGTATGAAAGGCCCCTTCCAGCCTCAGCCATCTATGATTCCATGATGACAGGGCTGCTCATGGCTCATTCCTGTGCAGCCTGGAGGGGCGAGTCCAGAAACTGGGAACACTCCAGTCAGCCTGTAGTGGACACATTCCTGACTGCCACTGCTGTTCATCCCCTCTGCTCCTGGGACACTAGAGTCCCAGGAGAGGGAATGAAGCCAGACCCCAGCAGCTCTGCTCCAGAGCTATGCCTAGGAACACTGAAACAGACAGGAGTTGAGAGTTTGGCCCCATGCCTCTGGGACTTCTCTTTGGTTCCCATTCAAACAGAAATCCCAGAGAGATGCAGCAGGGAGCATCCCACACAAACTGCCTGTTGAAGGGTTTCAGGGAATCCTCAGTAAGTTGCTGAAGCTTGCAGACCTGCAGCACAGGGCTGTGGCTTATTCTGCTATGATGCTTTGAAGACACTCTGGCACACTTTGGGAGTATCAGATTTTACAAGGAGTTTTAGGACATCTAAGCATCTTTGCTTCTTTGCTGCAACCTGACAGCTCTGACAACACTCAGTATTTATAGGCAGCAACACCATTGAATAGAAGAAGGCAAGGGACGAGATGCCAAATTTTCCCTGAGACAAAACCAGAAGACAGCTTGGATTTTTAGGAGTCTTGAACCAATGAGGGAGATTGAGGCCTTGTAAAATTAATATTCACAACAAAACATGTACTCTAGCAAGCCAGGCATGCAAACACAGTATAGAAAAGGCCAGCAAGGCTCAAACTGAGGATTATACAAGGCAAAGTGTACTAACCACACACCTACATCAAGACTTTGAGAAGAAATTAAGAATAAAACATGCCACAAAACTCAGGAGTGGTGAGAGATGGGAGTGGTCCACTTTACCAGCTCATTCATGCCCAGAATAACCTATTCAAAGAGAGTCCTGCACTCCAGAGGGTTAAGGGTTTATTAATTGCATACCTCCTACTGTTAACACTCTCAGCCGCTCCTTGAACACTGCAAGGTCTGGGGAGGGCAGGGAGGGAGGATATAGAAAGGGAGAAGACAGAGAGATGCAGTCAAAGTTAGTAAAAAAAATCTGTCACTGTGAAAACTAGTCATGGAAAGCACAAGTCAAAAAAATACAGTATTTAAAATACAGGCAAAATCCATCAGAGGCAAAAGGGCAGGGATGGAGGATGACTACACACTAGGCAGAAGAGGAATCTTGGTGGGAAGTCTGATGAGAGGAGGGAGGAGCAGGAGGGGAAGGGGGCATCAGACACTGGGGAGTTGTTGAGCTGCACGGTTTGAGATCTCCTTTTGCACCTTGATGGGAGAGACGGTGGCCTGGCATCTTCATTTGCCATGACCGAAAGCATCCTGCCAAGCTGCATCACAGGGACTGGGACCCTCTGCAGAAGCTGGGAGCTGCCTCCCACCAACACCTGCTCCAGAGGGTTTGCTCTGCTCGTGCTACTGGGAGGATTTCAAGGTCAACCTACAGAGGTAAGGCTGCTGCCTTTGCACAGAGGAGGACTGGGGTGTTGACAAGCAGGCAGTTCATGAGGAAGACAGCGAAGATGGCAGCACAGCAGGCATGCACAGCCGTCTCTCTGGAGCATGCTTGGTGCAGGCAGGAGTGCCGGCACACTGCAACAGTGGGCAAGCATGCAGCACCAGAGCTGCCTGCCCAGCTAGGTTAGGTGACCCAAGTGCCTCAATCTCACCTAGGTTACAAAAAGACTTGGAAACACTTGTCATTTGGGTCAGCAGGGAAAATCAGACACTTCCCCAAAGTGGGAAAAAGGAAGGTGGGAACACCTCAAGCCTAGGTCCCCGCAGGGACTCGCCTGGCTCTTCCTGAGCTGGAGGAGGATTTCCATCAATTTCCCTTTGCATGAGCCAGAGGCAGCTGCCTTCCATGGCGAGAAAGACAGACAGACAGACACTTAGACACACACAGCCTTCCACACACCACCTGAATTTCAGTGTACTAAGGTACTATTTCTTCCTTTCTATTTTCAGGATCATACTGAGTTCCTGTAGTCATCCTGTCCTTGTTTTACACACTTACCATGCCAGACCAGCTGCAGTGGAAGACCAGGATGAGATTACTTGCGTTTTTTTTTAAATAGAAAAGACAAGAGAAATGGGAATCGGGTGGCTCCAGCCCCACCACTCCTCAGAGTGAGTAGCCCTGGGTAGGTTTTCTCCCTCTGACACTTTCCCCAAAGACTGAACTGCTTAATCCAAAGAGAGCTTCCAAAACAGAACCAAACCAGTTGCTAAACAAAAAGCAGTTGAGAAGAAGGATCAATTTCTGATATTAACCATCCAACTCATTTGAATCACAGCACTGCCACTTAAACTGTTGGCAAATGTGATCACACTACAAAAGCTGACCTTTAAAGGACTTTGCCGTTCAGAAAGAGGAAACAAGATTGTTTCCAAGTTTCAAAACGACTCCTGCTATTAACCACCCTGTCAAGTGCTACATATTCCTTCAAAGCAAAAAAAAACCCCCAAAAAAAAAAACTAAAACAAAAACAACAGCAAGATCTGCTTACGAATTGGCTTTTTCTGTCACAAGCAGGCAAAACCCAACCTTAGGCATAGCTGGAGTTCTGTCTTCTGCACCACCACAGCTCCTTCCCCACTTCCTGAACACTATTTGCAAGCTAAGTTCATTCAGTTACAACTAGGATTGACTAGATGAGGTTTTTCAAGATAAGAATATCAAGGGAAAATTTACTCAGCATAAATAATATTTATAGCAAGTTAAACAAAGTCTTTTGCTAAGACCTAGCCACCTGAGTCTGGGGTTCCACCATGAGACACAACCCCAGCACGAGCTGGCAGCTGCCACCATTATATCTTGTGCCCAGGACTCATTATTTCCTATTAATTAATGGAGTCCTGGGAAGCAAATCAACACCACTAGCCACAATGACAGGTATTTTAATATGAAAGCCACAGATGAACAGAGATTAATCTTAAGGGCTTGCTCAGACACAAGAGATCCCATGCTGAGGCTCCTTCCAGCTAATGCCTATGGACTATCTACACCTGAATGCTTCCCACCACAGTGAGAAGCATGTCAGAGTCCAGACTAGGGGATGAAGCAGCTTCTTCATCATCCAGTGAACTGGTCCAACCAAAACCTACTCCCTTCCCTACCTCTTCTGGTACATGTAATCCTGTCCGAAGGTCCAGCAGGTCCAGGGCTGGTGTCCCTGTTGCTGGCAGATGAATAAGGAATCAAGGAGGTTTACATGCACCGTGCATTCTGATTGGCTGCTTCGATTGGTGAGGTTAGTAATCATCACTGCTGCTCTACTCTACGTTAGGAGCATGAGCATGCCTCTGGAGCACTCAGAGTGCCAGGGAACCACCCTGGGAAGCACCAGTGAGGTGACAGAGCTCAGCAACCTCATCCTGGCTAGGAGAATGGTAGCAAACTACAGAGATTAGCTCTAAAGCACATGGAGAGGTGCTATGTTTAAGCACTTTCAGATCAGGATTTCAAGTCCTGAGAACCACACACACTTCTGTACAACACTCATGCAGCTCTCACTCAAACGCGTTGGAATTTCCACCTCTCTACTTAGACAGGAATGCATCCCAAAGCTTCCTTGTTATGATCACCAGTAGGGACTCATAGCTCAGTCTTGGACAAAGGGCAATTAAAGGATTTACAGATGCTGGGGCAAGCTGGAAGTTCAGGAGAGTAGCCTCAGCCCCGCAGAGATGAACCCAGTACATTCACTCCCAGCTCTGTGGGTCCCCAAGGGCAGCAACAGGAGCTGAGAGAACAAGCCTCCAGCTCTCACCCAACAAAAAACCTCTCTGCTTTGCATTTCTCGAAGATGCAATTGCTTCCAGCCCTTCTGGGTTTTTGCTTCTGGGTGAGCAAGATCAGTGGTAACACTGTTTGGTACTCGTTGAAGAAACATGAGCTGAGTACTGGAGTGACAGCCAGAGGGTGGCAGGACTGCACTGCTGCTGCTACCGGCAACTACAGTTTTAGAGTGATCATTACTAAGGAAACTTCAGACCCCTGGCCTGTGAAGCAATCTACCTACGAAGCTGTGAAAGAGAGGGGAGCTCAAGCAATGCAGCACCAACTGCTCTCAAAGCCCTCACCCAGTTTGTCTGTGGATGTGATAATATCGGCAGGAAGGGAGGAGTCCAGATCTGCATCCAAGATGCCCAGTGGATCGAGTTGTGCTACATGATGCCCTCGAATCTATGAAATGCATCAGGAATGGAAAGGAGAACAGGAACCAAAAGGGAGAGAAAAACAAAAGAGGGGAGGGGTAAAAAAGTTAAATTACATTAGAATTAATTTGCAGAGTAATTCTCACCGACGTTTGGAGAAACAGTTACTGGCGCATCATCAAAATTTACACAACTAATGCCGAGAGGATCAAGCTTTGCAATGTGGTGACCCCTGACCTGGAAGCAACAACACAGATTAGTCATTAGAAAAAGTTAACTGAAGAGACATTTATTTTAAAAAAAAGTTGGAAAATTTAATTCAGAGTTTCCCTCTTTACATTTTCTGCTGAGCTACCTCAATTCTAGCTGCAGCTAAATCCTGCAGAAATTTGGTTTACTGTCACATACAGCACATAGGAGAGTGCTAACAGCCATCAGGACTGCTCTGTTCTACCTGACACCAGGTTTGGCAGGGGTACAGGGGGATGGCAAGCTCCTTCACAGCTGAGACAGGGTCTAAGGGTCTCCCAATGCTTTCCCAGTGTCCAACTTGGGCAGCTCCTCTCTACAGATGCAGTAACTTCACACTGATGGTCTCCTCCTAAGAATCACAGGTACATGAAGAGGCAATTTGCCCAGAGAAGCTGTGGCTGCCCCATCCCTGGCTCATGTTCAAGCCCAGGTTGGATGGGGCTTGTGGAGCAACTTTAAAGGTTGTATGTGTCCTTGCCTGTGGCAGGGGGGTGGCAGGGTGAATCAAGAAAAGCTTTAAGGACCCTTCCAATCCAAACTATTCTGGGATTATATGAATTTTCTGGATTTTGGCAGATATAGGTGTTCTCTTGGCAACAGGGCAGAGAAAACAGGCATTGCCATTGGCTGCATTAGCTCCTTAAAGGCCAAGGAACATGTCTGAGGAACGTTTGCCCAGATGCTCTCCAGAAGGTCACAGCGTCCCTCTGGAGAGAGGAGCCCACCGCAGAAGCTGGAGCACTCTCCTGTGAAGGGCCGTGGAAATAACAAAGAGCTTTTGTACCAAGGGAGTCCTGACAGCTCCTGGCAGCAGCAGTCAGGCCAGGAATTCCAATGCTGGGTCTGAATCCACATTGGGTACCACAGAGAACAGGAGGCGATGAGGAGTTCTGGGTTTTTGCTGCTACAGAGGTAGGTACCCACAGACAGATCCTAGCACATCTAACTGGGCAAACTCAGGTCATCTTGGTGGCCAGCACTCTCCAACTGGTGAGTCACAGGTTATTCCTTGACAGTTTCAGGCTCAGTGATGCTGGGAATGGGGCAGGAAATACAACTGCCACGGTACAGGGTGCAGCCTTCCTTGCAAGCAATACTCTGGGCATCGAATCTGCTACCAGTTAGGAAAAGCACTCAAATACAAGTGGATTATTAAACCTCTTGTACAAACCAGACACAGTGCTCTGACCTTATTTACTAGAGCTCATTCCTATTTAGAGCATCCTGTGGGGATTTTAAGATGGGATTTTTGTGGTTTTACCAGCCAAGGAGCCTGAAATCAGACATCAGCATTAAGGCAAACTGAGAAGAAAGCACCATTACCCCTTGCTCTCTGCAGGGCCAGGCGACACCATAGTCCTGAGCACTGATGGCCACAGGACAGCTCCTCTGGGCCAGCTCTGGCTGTGAACTATTTGCTTGTCCATCTCTCAGCAAAGCACAGGGGTGAGTCCATCACATAACAGTCAGCAGGATGGAAGCTCACCATGCTGCTCCCCATGGCCAGGATGCTCTCAGTGGGACGAGGAGGCTACTTAGTCCAGCAAACAGCTTTGAGCTGGGGAAAGCTGGTGGCTTTCAGATTACCTCAGCAGTTTGCAGGTACACAGAAAATCCTCAAATCAGTGGGAGAAAACACCTTTTTCCCCCACAGGAGCCATGCTCGTTTTGCACAAGCCAAAACAAGGAACAAGAACGATGCTCCAAGGGCTGGAGCCTCTCTTCTCTGGAGTCAGGCTGGGAGAGATGGAGGTGTTCAGCCTGGATAAGAGACAGCTCCGGGGGAACTCAGAGCCCTGTCTAGTTTCTAAAGAGAGCCATAGAGGGAGTTTGGACAAGGGCCTGGAAGGGCAGGACATGGGGGATTGGCTTCCCACTGCCAGAGAGCAAGGTTAGATGGGATATCAGGAAGAAATTCTTCCCTGTGAGGGTGATGGCCTTTCATTTTAGGACCTTGGAAGTTCTGTCAGCAACAGTGGGAAGCAGGATAGATGCTCCATGACACTGCTAAGCATGGCAGGAGCCCACAGCATTGGGGCAGCATTCCAGACAGCAGCAAACCATCCAGTGTGAAGAAGATCTCCCCCTCCCTGCCACCCTGTTTGGATGACAATAGCTTTAATCTTCCTATTGTCCAGCAACATATTAGCTGAGTTTCTGCCCCAGCAGAGCAGTTGCTCCTATTCCAAACGAGGCAGCCCAGCTCCTATCCTTCGTGCTCTCCATGCAAAATGTGCATCATTCACACTAACTCCAGCCCACCTCAGCCACTGCAAGCCCCTCTACAAAAGATGTGACCCTCCTTGGCACAAAGTCCCCTTACCTGATATGCCCTGATGAGAGATTGCACTGCAAGATGGTCCTCCACCAGTTTATCCACGTTAGGCTGAGCCTGAACCAGGGACTGGGTTTGGGACAGGATGGAGAGGCTGGTAGTCAGTGGAGGGGGGCTTTGGTAAGCAGTGCCTGGAGCAGCTCCAGCATTGGCATTGCGAAAAAAGATGTCCCATGACTAGGAAAAAGAAAAGAAGAGTGGTGACCATGGTCTTCACTTGCAGTCCAAACACCTCCTCAAGTCAAGGTTACAGAAGTCTCAACTTTACTGCCAAAGCAGGGGACAGAACTGCCTCCTCTCCTGTACCTCAGCTCAATGCAGCTGCTGCTAAGAGCACCCACCTGCCTTGAACAAAAGAGCACTAAAGCTCTCCCACTATTCCAACTGCATCACTATTCCACCTCCCATCCATCTGGATTGTTTCTTTTGGCATGAGGCCAACCCCAGAGCCACCCCTCCCTTGGCAGTGGCACCAGGACAGGACAGAGTGATACTCCATCCCTTGGCTCTGCTCTTGGAACTGAGCAACAAGCCCCAGCCTGGACTTCCAGCTCATTTCCTTCTCCCCAGGAGAGGCCACTGCTCTCTAAATACCCCAGTATTTTCTGAAAAATATTTCTGCCCTGTAAATACACCTCTTCCTCTTTCCATGGTCTGAATAGCTGGACACCTAAATACCAGCATAAGCTGTGTTGTTCAGCCCTCAACCAGCAATGGTTTTATTTTTTCTATCTCTTCTTCAATTTTCCCCCATCCTTTTGGTGACACCAATGACAGCACTACAGAGGTATTCCCATACCAGCTCTCCCATGCACAGACCAAGGCAGCTGCCTGCTCTGCTCCCGTTCCCTTTGCAGACGGGCATTTCTAGGTGTTACAAAAAAAATCAAAACACCAAAAAAAAGCCCTGGACAGACTTGGTGTACTGTCATACCTTTCCAGCACTGTCTGAAAAGCCTGGAAGTGTCCCAGGCCAAACCCAAGTTAACCAGTCTCCTTGCAGAAGCACCAACAGATTCGGGGAAGGAGAGAGCCTGGCCAAACAAAGTCCAATCCACATCCTCCCATCACTCATGTGCCTCGTTTCATGTGCCACCAAATGATGGCAAAGGATGAGGGCACAGTGGAACAGCAGCTGTGTGCCAGCACAGACTCAGGAAGCTGCTAGAGCAAAAAAAATCCCATGGGATTTGCATGCTGGCTTCAGCCCAAGGGTTTCTCCACCAACTGGGAGCTTGGCATCCTGAACTTTGGAAAACACCAAATACAGCCTTGGAAATCGGAGATGGGCAAAGCCCAGCCATTCCCAGAGTGTTTAAATAAAGTAGAAAAGTGCCCTTAGAGCAGGGGTTGTTTGAGGCAGAAAACAGTTTTTGTCCCCTGGAAGCAGGGTGGAAAGGACTGAAAATCTGCCCTTTGCTGGAGTCACCCCAGCTGAGCTGTTCCCCCAGAGCTCCTCCAGTTGCAGCACCCATCACATGCCCCAGGAAGGTATTTCCAGTCCCAATTCACCCAAACACCCCATTGTCCCATCACATGGTGAATAAATTTAGAAACAGGTCACGCTAAAGGAATATAAATAAGATCTGGAACATTTTGACACTGATAAACAATCACTCCCCCAAGGGGAAAAAAAAGGGAAGACAGAAAACACCCAACCCTGTTCTGACTGCTAAAGGAAATTTCAGTGGGAAAAGAAGGAGAGCTGCTTTTTGTTCCACCCCAGCTTTTCCCTTCCACAGGCTCACAGAGCTCCTGGGTGCCCCCAAAGCCATCAGCTCCTGTAAACGGAGGGACAAGCACCCAGGAATGGGCTCTGTGCCCTTGGGATGGAGAGGAACCTGGCTGGATACTTTGCTCCGTGGTTTAAGTTTGGTTTATGTACTGGCAAATAAAGACAGGCAAGAGAAAAGAAGCACCTGTCAACCTGGGAGGGGGGTGATGGGGACAGACACGGAGCCAGGGGTGTTGCCCTTATAACCTTCTCCCTTCTGCCATTCATTTCTCTTGGAGTTGCAATTAGCTTCTGTTTTGGAAGAAAAAGTTCACTTTAAACTCTGCAAACAAGGTGTGGCACTTTCACTGAGTGCTTTATTGCTCCACAGAATGATACCTGCATGGCACAGGGCAGGCTAGGACTGGGATAAGGGCCATAAAGACATCAGCTTTCAACCTGCTGATGTGGTTTTAAATTCAAGAGAAGCCAAGTGCTATCCCATGGGTTTCTGAGGAGAACAAAGGTGCCTCTGGAACTCACATCTACCATGGGAGAGGCTGCCCCATCAGAGTTATCCTGCTTTATCATGGGAAGGAGAACTTTGAACTTAATCCAGCACTTGCCAAAGGTAACAGCAGTAATAAACTCATGGGATTATTGTCCTCTGACTTTTCTGTGCCCATGGCAGCTCTGTGAGTGCTCCACTTGTTTTTATACCCTGTATAGATGCATAGAGGCTATAAGATACATAGATATACATTTTGGCTCAGATTCAGGGCATTTTCAGACAGTCCCACAGCTGCAACACAAAGCATTAGCCTGGACTGGCTTTCCCAGTGCTCCCCCATGCACTGGCAAAGCAGGACTGGAGAACCAGCTGCCTGCCACACACCAGGAGAGTTCACGCTTTAGGTGGATCCTGAGCTCAGTTCTGTGACTGGAGCTCAGGGCAGGCTCCTCTATTGAGAACAATCCCAAACCAGCTCACCAAGCCAAACCAGCACCTTCTACCAAATTCAGCTTCTGAAGAAGGGTGTGGGCTCATACTGTCATGTCCCATTTTCTCACCTTGGAGATCAGGCATGCACACCAAGGGAAGAGGAGTAACATTTCCCATCAGCTTCCATTTGGAGCCGAGGTACAGGGAAGGAGGCAGTTCTGTCCCCAGAAGCACCCTCAGTGCTTCAGGCTGGGACGTGCTTAAGGGACAAACTGCTTCCTGCTCCTTCCCCTGCCACGGGCTCCAGAAGCATCAACTCTGCTTGGCATGGCCTGCAGGTCTGGCAGCACTTCCTGCTCCAGCAGGGAGAAGATGATGAATGTCAGAATTTAAGGCTGCAGGAGGATGAGGAGTAGCCTGAACTAAATTTAAGGCAAATCTAATCTTTGCTGAGAGCAGGCAGTCAAGTAGCAACCAATGGGTTCATGCTGTGCACACTGCTGTGTCCTTTATAAACCAGATAAGGACCTTCAGTTTTCTGAGGGTGATGGGATCATCAAATCCCTTTCAATTTCAAATCCCAAACATTGCAAAGTTAAAGGGTCTGTGTTAAGGGCTGTTTCATGTACAGATCCATGGGGAGACCTGTGTCCCGGTCACCCAGTGCAACCCAGACTTCAGGGCTGCTGCTTAGGGAGACTGAACCGACCTGAGATGTATGCAGGTATCACCCACCTGCAGCCACAGCTGTTTGGCCACCTTCCCTGAAGCACCCATGATGTTGCTTAGGGTATGGGGAGACAGTGTGGGCTGTACCAAGCACCCAAGCTGGTCAAATGGAGGGCAGGAGGATGGTGTCCCCACTTTTAAGGGGACGCAGAGCCAGGAGCAAGCAGCACTGACTGACCCCCTGGCAGCCCACTGGCACCCATACCCCATGCCTTCACCTCCTCATTCTCCCACTCTAATTTTTATTATTCTACTGTTATTCTTATCCAACTTTGTTCATTGGACTTGAAAACTGGAGAGCAGCTAAAGGATTCCATGCAGAAAATGCCTTAAAATAACCTTTTTATCTTCCCTATTTTAAGCAAGCACTAAAGCTTGCTCTGCAGTTTAAGCCCCTGGTGTCTACATGGAGAAAATGCAGTGTGCTCAGCTGGGACCATCACACCAGCGGCAAGGCTCAGAGGTTTTTAATGACAACAGCAAAGGCACTCCAGCTCTTCCCAATTGAACGTGTCCCTCCTCCCTGGTGGGACACACCACAGCAAGGAGCAGCTGGTCTCTGCGCTACACAGGGATAGAAAAACCTCAGCCAGGTCCCCGTGACAGCCTGACTCCATCCAAGAGCTCCACCTTAGCAACTGACCTCCATCTGGCAGGACAGAGGCCAAAGCTTATCAAGGACAGGAGTGGCACTTTCCTCCCCTGGGCAGGGCACACTGGCTGATTAAACCTGCAAGCCAACACAACTAGAGCCAGCTGCAAGCCCAGACTGAGCACAGCAGCTCAGCATCGAGGGACCCATGAAAAAGCACAGAGAGCACAAAGGAGTGCAGAGAGGAGCTGGGACAAGGTGAAGTCCACACAAGAGACAAGGCCAGAATGTGGCCAAGTCTGTAGATCAGCAATCTAGCTTTACACACACAAGCTCAAAGCCAAGCTTAGCTACGTCTGCCCCAAAACAGAATACCACCCATGCCCGAGACAAAAAGGAAACCAGTCACAATGTGGAGAATACCCCCCTTGCCCCCTTTCCCCATCCTCCACTCTGGAATCAATCCTCTTGATGAGCCACGAGAGATGGAAAAAATACAGCATTGGGAGCTTGCTACAAATGGATTCCCAGAAGCCATTCCTTTGTATCTGCTTGTGATCCAGGATGCTGCCCGTGTCATTTCCTCTTGAACAGAGAAAGCTCCTCTTGGTTCTTGCTCAAGGAATCACTGCTGTTTCTTTCAGGCAAAGTGAGGCAGACGGACCATCCACAAACATCCAGCCCCGACTGATGAATTCACTCCTCCTCAAGAGGTGCCACTTACCTGCACCCACTGTTCAGACACACAGAGAAGTGAAGGTGACGTCCTGGCAAGGTTGAGCCTTACCTTATGTACACTTTTGGGATTTTCCAGCCAAGCATAATACATTTCCTCAACATAGTTCGAACTAGTCCCACTCAGAAATGGCTCGGCAGCCACTGGTGCACTGTAGCACCTCAGCTGTTGGAACGTCCTGGGTGCTGCCGGTCTGTGTTGGGAAATTGTCTTTACAGTCTGTGAGGCTGTCAATGGCCTCAGTTTTGCTGCACAAGTCCTTAAGTTAAGCATTTTTGTCCCGTTGCCTCACACGAGTTCCTGTTGAGGGCGAACAGAAAAGTGGGTTACAAATTACTGCAGGAGAGCACTGAACTGAGACCACCCCCTCCTCGAGCATGGAGAACCAAGTTTAGGATCAGTTTTTAATTTGGATTAATCCATCCACCCTGTCCCACAGCCAGGTCTCTGATGGCTTGGAAATGCAGTTTTCACTCAGTACATTCAGTATGGCCAGGTCTGCCTCTCCTATCCCTGGCAACATTGCATTGTCATCTCCCTTCTCATGACAGTGCGAAGCAAGTCTGTTTGGTGGGTACCCAACACCAGCCTCGAATGAGCCACTGCACATGAAAGCCACCCACATCTCTTGATTTCAGCTTCTTCCATCACTCTCCTTTCCAGGTTGGTCTAGGCTTCCATTTCTATGACCACTCTGCTTGTTTGTTGTGATGTGCACCAGGATAATGCTGGGAAGAAACCATCTACAGGGAAAATCGCTCGCAAAGTAGGGGTACAGTAGTGCAAAGCACCTGAGAAGTGGGCTCCAGGAAAGACTGCTGCTCCTCAGAAGCCCAGACCCAAGAATATCAGTGCAGCTGGAAGATCCAGAGAGGGGCTCTCCCCTGCTCAGAGAACCCAGAAAAGTAATCTGGAGCCAGTGTAGGACCTCTGAGAGGTCCCACCTTGCATAGGGCATGTACTGGGAGGCCTGGGGATAGCCAGGGGGTTTGCACAGGGCCAGCCATGGGGTTTGATGCACATCCAACCAACCACTGCAGCCCAAGGAAAGCAGTGGAAATCATCCTGAAGGAAGTGCAGGCACTTGGAGCAACTCCTCTTGGAGCTGCCCTTTCCACCCAGCTCCTCCCGCAAAAGGCAGGACCCAAGACTAGAGGTGACCCAGCCGGCTGGTTTCCATATCCCAGACCAGTTTAACGAGCAGCAACCCAATGTCAAAGCAGTTACCATGTGTTCACCAGATTAAAATGAAATTTCACAAGGGACTAGGAAAAGAACACACCTTCATGGCCAGCATTTTGCTAGCCAGCCTTCCAGGTTTGTCTTGCTGAATCTAGTTCAGACACTGAGCTCTCCCCTGTAGTGACCAGTAACAGGACCCAAGGGTTGCACCAGGGGAAGTTTAGGTCAGGTATTAGAAAAAGGTTCTTCACCCAGAGGATGTTTGGACACTGGAACAGCCCCCCCAGGGAAGTGGTAAAGCAGAAAGTCTGAGCGTTCAAGAAGTGTTTAGACTGTGCTCTCAGGCACAGGGTATGACTCTTGGGGATGGTCCTGTGTAGGGCCAGGAGCTGGACTTGATGATCCTTGTGGGTCCCTTCCAACTGAGCATATTCTGTGATTCTGTAGTTCTGGCTGCCCGGCATGACAGGGACTACACTTCCCACTGGAAACTATAAGGTTCTGGTTCAAAGAGCCTGAGGAAGACCCAGATTCACCTGAATTCAGATAAAGTGTTTGACAGATTTACCCACAGGAAAAAGGGAACCACTTGTTGTTTCCACCCTGCCCACAATAACACCTGGCAAGAAAGGCCAGCAGGTGCAGGACCTCAAGTGCCACAGCACTGGGAATTCTCCCACTTCACCCTCATCAGATCTACACAGCACAACACACTGTTATTTTTCTGAAAGGCTAAGAAAGTCAAGAATGTTCAGCCTAGAGAAAAGAAGGCTCCAGGGAGTCTTTAGAGACCCCCACAGTCCCTAAAGGGGCTCCAAGAGAGATGAGGAGGGACTTTAGACAAGGGCCTGCAATGACAGGACAAGAGAGAATGGCTTCCCACTGCCAGAGAGTAGGGTTAGATTGGATATTGGGAGGAAATTATTCCCTGTGAGGATGGTGAGATCCTAGTACAGGTTGTCCAGAAAAGGTGTGGCTGCCCCTGGATCCCTGGGTGTCCAAGGCCAGGGTAGATCGGGTTTGGAGCAACCTGGGCTAGTGCAAGGTGTCCCTGCTTATGGTGGGGGGACAGAACTGGATGATCTTTAAGATCCTTTCCCACTCAAAGCATTCCATGATTCCGTGATATTTCAGAGAGCCAACTGAATCTAGTGCCAGAGCACAGGCATGCATATGGGAGGGAAAAAGCTTTAGGACAGAAGTAGTATCATCATCTCCAGTTTCAAAACCAGTTTTGGTGCTGTCACTCAGCAGCATCCAGTGACCTCTCTGGAAAACAGTGAGGTTGATACCAGAGTTTGACCCAAAGTGAGCAGAATTCTTGAAGGAAAGGCTAGCTAGGAGCCTGGACAGAGACAGGCAAGCTTGGAGCTGGGATGATTGCAAGTTGGATCAAAATAGAGAACCAGAAGCAATGACATAGGAAACCAAGTCAGAGATAAGGAATATCAGGGTCACACAGAAATGCAAAGGTCAGACTGTGAGTGCTGACTGAGGAGCGTGTAGAGGGGCAGCCAGTCACAGCCCAAAGCTCACCAAAAGGTCATACCTCAGGAATGCCCACAACAGATGACGGCCCAGAGCAAGCCAATAAGCAGATTAAAGTGCTAAATGTGACCCACCGGCAGTCGGGCTGGGGACGCCAGCCTAGAAAGCAGGTACTTGATAAGAACTTGTGACTTAGGAATACTTGCTAGGTTAAAAACAGCAGGAATTCTACCTTCCAGGAAGTGGCGGGGCCAGAGCCACCGGCTGCAGCCAGAGCTGATCCAGCACCGGGCACCGTCGGGCCTGCGGCAGGCGAGGGCCTCAGAGCGGGCGGGGGCCAGGACAGACCCTCCGCGTCCGCTACAAGGCCGACCCCGGCCCCCCAGAGATGTCCGCGAGGCGCCGCGGGCTCGGACGTCATTCCCCGGGCGGGCAAACGGAGCGGATCGGCCCCGCGGGGGAACCGGGGTGGGCGCGGGAGGCCCGGAGTGGGCGCGGGGGGCCCCGGGGGGCCGTGAGGCGCGCGGGAAGGGGCAGCGGAAGTCCCGCCCCGGCCCCGAGCGCGCCAGGCCCGCCTCCGCCCCGCGCCCGCCAATCACCGCCCGCCGCCGCCGCCCGGGCTCGTCGTCCCTCGCTGGCTATAGGCCCGCGGCGAGCAGCCGAGCCTTCCCATTGGCCGCGGGGCTGCCCATCTCGCCGCAGTCCCGCCCCCCTCGCTCCCCTCCTCCCAGGCGCCCGGGCGGCGCCAAGGACACCGGGGCGCGACCGCGGGCGACCGGCCCGGCGCGGCCCCCAGCGCAACCCCCGCCCTGCTCCGGTGCCAGCCCCGGCCCCCGCCCGCGCTCCCAGCCCTCTCGCCCGGCTGGGTCCGGTCCTACCGTCCGGCCCTGCCGCGGAACCCACCGGCGCGTCCGCACACCCCGCTCGTGGTCCCGGCTCTGACAGCAGCCCCGACCGCCGGCCCCGCCCCGCCCTTCCGTCACCACGTCGCGTCGCCACGCCCCTTTTGCCACGCCCTTCGAGCCCGGCCCAATGCGTCTGCGCCGTCTGGCGTGAGCGGTGAGGCGGGGCCGGGGCGCGGGGCGGAGCCCAGCGTGAGGGGCACGGGAGGGGCACGGGAGGGGCACGGGGGGGGCACGGGAGGGGCACGGGAGGGGAGGGGCAGGGGAGGGGCACGGGAGGGGGCTGGGGTCAGCTCTGCAGCTTGGGACCCCGCCATGGCCGGGCAGTTGGACACAGCCTGGGGACCCTTTGCATGGCCTGGGGACCCCCGACATGGCCGGAGAACTCCCACACGGCCTGGACACCCTTGGCATGGCCTGGGGACACCCACCGTGGTTCATGGCTTACAGCCCTCATTGTGGCTTGGTAACTCTCACCATGACTTCAGGACCCCAACTGTGGCCTGGGCACCTCTGCCATGGTCCAGGGACCTCCATTGTGTTGTGGAGAAGCTCTTGCTCTGGGGTACCTCAGGCTTTTGGGGATATCCCACCATGTGTGACAGCCAGCGGGTGTCCAGCAGGGCCCAGGAGGTGTTCTGGGAGATCTGCGTTTCTGGCAATTTCCTGACAATGAGTCATGGTGGCGCCAGTCTCGGCCACAGGAGCTATGCAGGGCTGGATGGACACTTTCAGGAAGTGAAACAGGTCCAGGAAAGCACCCCAAAAGCACGAGTCCACGCAAGCCCGGCCACGCACATCCCCTGGCCCTCCCAGCATGGTGCAATCTCCGGCACGCCGGATGTACATGAGGATGAGGAGTGCCCCTAAAGGCTGTGTCTCTGAAGGCCATGTCCCCAGGGTGGCATGAGTGGGTACAGGAAACTGAGCGGGCAGCAGGTTCCTGCACCTACTGGTGTTGGGGCAGTGAGGCAAAAGGGGTGACAGAGGAGGCACAGCTGGCCATGGCACCAGGGGTCTGGGCAGTACAGGAGTGTGAAAAATGCCAATCACTTGGTTTTAAAAATTTTAAAGGTTTAATAATAATAAAATGGCTATAAAAATAGTAATACAATTAGTAATAAAAATTTAGAGTTAGGACAATTACAAGACAATAAAGAACAAAGAATTACAGACGTCTGGATGTTTTTGGACACTAAGCTACCAAAAATATGTCTTCTGAACAAAGGAATAACCCTTAAAAGCAATAGCCTCTCACATATTCATAGATCTCATACATGATGCATAAATTCCTTGCAAATTAAGAACTTTTCTGGGCTTTGTCAACTTCTTTCCCTTAATGCTGGTGGTTCCATAAAGATGGAGAGAAGGTGGAAGAATGTTTGTCTCTTCCGATAAGGAGGCTGTAACTCTTTATGTGCCCTTTCACTGTTATCTCTGTGCGAAGAATTTCTTGATTATCTCATCTCTTTCTTGAGCTAGTTAAAAAGTATCTTACACCGCAGAGTTTCTATTTTAACATTATGTTATAACCTAAAACTATATTTAACATACCACTCAAGAGAATTAATACAGCATAACTTTCTAACATTACACATATAATATTAATTTTAATATTTGTGAAAAGCCAATCATGAAATCCGCATTTTTCACAGGAGGAAGCTGTGGGGAAATGGTGGAGTGGCAGCACTTGCACCACTGGCCCCTTCCGGGACACTGACAGTGATGGGTGTCTACGCAGCTGGGCTGGGGCTGGGAGCTGGCACTGAGTGAGTCCAGCTCCCTGCTGGGTCAACCAAATAGCAGACTGGCACATGGTCAGAGGCCCCACATATCAACCCCAAACATCCCCTCTGCTCTCTGCCCCACACACCAGCTCTGGGGCATCCTTCTGCTCTGCCCCACCACCCAGCTCCGGATCATCCCCTGCTCTGACCCATATCTGGTCCTGGAGTATCCCCTGCTCTGCTCCATGCTCTGCCTCCCCATTGCACTGTAACCAACCCCCACCCTCCCAGCCCTCCAGTCTCAAAAGAGTAATTGGACAAAACCGGGTGTTGCGAAACCTGGAAATCCCACTCTGACAGTGCTTCCTTCTTGAGGCTCTTGAAAACCAGCCACACTGACACCAGGCTCAGAGAGCAGCCAAGCAGCACTGCAGGCAGGACAGGCAGGAGCAGGCAAGCAAGTGCCTCAGAGGTTTGCAGATAGTGTGACATCTCTGCCCAGGACTCTGCAGTCAGTGGCGGCAATGGCATTTGTCCCTGATTTGGACACACTGGAGAGCAGCAGGTAAGAACAGACATGCTGGAGAGAACTCTGGGGATGTGATGCTGCATTCCTGACCCTGACTTCACTATCTCCTTTTGCCTTTCAGCCTCAATGAGGAGACATTTTATGGCCCCAACTGTCTGTGCCCACAGAAGGTAATGCTGTGGTGGTGGGACTGGTGGGGTCCAGGTCATATGGAAGCCAGGCTCTCATCCTACATCCCCTTTCTTCCCCAGAAGCCCCGACTGGACTTGGAGGGGACATCGCCTGGGGTGGGCATCCAGGTGACAGTGACAAAAGGACCCCTTTCCAGGACCTTTCGCCAGGCTGCTGTCCTGGTGGTTGCTGTCACCAAGCTCCTAAAGCAGCCATCACGCAAGGACTTTGCTGATAGTGACCTTGGCAGCTTCTTGGATGATATTTTCGGTATGAGGGGATGTCAGGGGTGGCACCCCAGCCAGAGGATATTCTTGGGGGATATTCTTGGACCTAGGAGCAGCATCCTCCTGACTGTCTCACTCCCCACAGAGCCCGTCTCCTTCCGGTGCATCAGAGGCAGTTATACCAGGGCACCTGTTTTCCGCTACACTCGCTCCCAGTCCTTCGACATCCTGGACATTGACCACAAGTGCTTCGTGCTGGAGTCACCCACCCAGCTGGTGGCCCTACACCTACAGGGACCTTCTGCTGGACAGAAAGGTGAGAGCATATGCTCCCATCCCAATGCCCCTGTCCCCAAACCCAGGACCACCTAGGAGCCACCCCACAACCCCAGGACCACTCATTTACCTGTCCCTTCTCTCTGCAGTGAAGCTCAACATTGCTCTGTACCGTCCCCGGCCATCGCAGGGCAGTCCAGGGTCTGGAAGGATGCCGGTGGCGTTGGGTATCAAGGGCTACCAGCTCTACATGTCATGTGTGATGAGTGGCACCAAGCCCGTGCTGCAGCTGGAGGTGAGCAGGGGGTCCCACCAGTCTTTCCTCTGTGGGGCTGGGGGCTCCATTCCACCTTGACACCCATTTCACCCCCCTGGCTACAGGAAGCTGACATCAGGAGGGATATTGAGAGTGTGGAGCTGACCCGCTTCATCTTCTACCGCCTGGACAGCCCATCTGAGGGGACCACCCGCTTCGAATCGGCCGCTTTCCCTGGCTGGTTCGTTTGCACATCCCTGCAGCCCCGCCAGCCTGTCGGCATCACAAACACCCCAGACCAGGTGAACATTGCTACCTATGAGCTGAGTGGGCGCTGAAGACCCTGCATCAACCCAACCGGCAGTCACCGGTTTTCAGGCTGTATGTACTAAGTACAACCCCCTGGGACACAACCCCCCTCCCCATCTATTTCATGTGAAATAGCAGCTCTGGGCCCCATGGGCTCGAGCCACCCCAGTCTATATTTATTTATTTATTTATTGTGTCTGCCCATTACTTTGGTACTTATTTACTGTGCCCACATATTTATTTTTGCTTTTAACTTGCATGTGGATGGAGGTGGAAATAAAAAGTTTTCTAAGACCAGCATTGCTCAGTTCATTGCTTATGGGGGATGGGGTTATGGTTGGGAAAATCCTTCTGCTTTGGCTGGTTTTTGGGTGAAAATCCAGGGCATGGGGGTCCCACAGCACAGGGACCACCCTGACCATGCAGGACCCTCCACCACTCTGTCTCCATGCCCACACCACAGCTGGGAGGTGACTGAGGTGGACATCACATGGTGGATCCCCAGCAGCACTGGCAGCTGCCTGAAACTGTCACCTCTCCCCAGTTGTGGCCAGCACATGGCATGGTGGGCCATGTAATAAATGGGCAGGAGATGATTCTCCTTAAAAATGCTTTTATTTAGTGAGATCAGCTCGGGTGGGGGCCCGACAGGCTGTGCATGTGCTGCCGCTGCTTCCCGGAGGGACGCTGAGTAGGAGGAAATGCAGCTTTGTCCACTTCATGTGCAGGCAGAGCTGGGGGATCTGTCCTCACACGAGCGGCAGGATTTTTCCCCTTCTTCCTCACAGTCTGTGCTATGGTATAGGGTCCTCATGCTATTCGAGTCCTCTGTTGGTTAGGGCGACAGATTAAAAGCATCTCTCTAGGTACTAGGGTTCGTTGCTTACCCTTCTGCAAGTGTCCTGCCGGACAATGAGTGGTGTGGCCTGACATCACATAATATCATGTGGTGTACTGTTGGTTTTGGCCCCTCTTGTTGGGCCTCAGGAGGCTCCCTTGATGGGGAAAACCTCCTTTAGCAGTTCTCTGTCCAGACTGAGAGATGCATGGGACTCTTTTCGGTCTTCAGGCTGTTGTTTTGTTGTTATCAGAAAGTTGGCAGACTGTCTATACCCAACTTAGCACACAGGGAAACACCGCAAAATGGCTACAAGATGTACAGTTTCAAGGTCTTTTAAAGCTGTTTCATCCAATTAACTCTTAAAAGGTACTTTATTTCTACCTTTCTACCTATTACTCCCCTTGTCTGTCCATGTAACCTCTGCACTGCGGCTTTCCTCGTCCAATCACTCTGTGCCACCAACACTGCAGAAAATGGAGTAGATGAAGAAGAAGATGAAGCAGCTTGGGACAACACCCAAAGACCTCCATCTTGCCTCCATACTAAAAAATCCCAAAACCTAAATGTTTCACCCTGTGACAAACTACACTATTCTATTATCTATTATCTCTATTCTCTATTATCTATTTCACAGTCTGGTAGACTCTAGTCTATCTTGAAGTCTTGGAAGCTTTCTCCATGGGTGTGGCCTGGCTCCGCGCGGCGCGGCACGGCTTGTCACGGCGCGGCACGCGTGTCATTGCGGCCACCCGCCTGCAGGGGGTGCGACTGCCGGAGGGGACGCGTTGTCACCGGCCCCTGCCCTCTCAGCCAATAACGGAGCCGGAGCCGGCGGTTGGCTCTCTCCATTGGCCGTCTTGAAGAAGGCGGCGGCCAATAGCGGCGGCGCGGCGGCTGTTGGCGGCGCCGGCGGTGCCGGGGTGGAGCGCGCGGCAGCGCCCGGTGAGGGAGCCCCGGGGCTCGGTCTGAGGGGTGCCGGTACTGGGGGTGCGGGCGGCCCAGGGGCCTGTGGGGGCGCAGGAGAAGGGCGCTGTGAGGCCCTGCGGTGCGGGGAGCTGGGATCTGTGGTCCTTCTGGGGCGGGTACCTTGTGGGGCGGCCAATAACGGAGCCAGAGCCGGCGTTTGGCTCTCTCCATTGGTTGTCTTGAAGAAGGCGGTGAGCGCGCGGGAGCGCCCGGTGAGGGAGCCCTGGGGCTCGGTCTGAGGGGTGCCGGTACTGGGGGGCTGCTGAGGCCTCGGGAGGGAGGGTGAGGGGGCGGTGTGCGTGACTGTGTGTGAACCCACAAAACGGGCACAGCGGTTTGGGAGAAGGCAGTGTGGGAGCTGGGGGGTCGTGCTGCTCTTGGGGCTCAGTGGAAGTCTTTCTTTCTTCAGACTGAGGCGTGCACAGTTGACGTGTTGAGTAGCATCACACTGTGAAGGTCAGGAAGCTTAAGCTCCAATGAGCATCTGGATGTGTTTAAAAAAGGACTGGATGTAGCTCCCGGTGCCACGGTTTAGTTGAGGTGTCAGGGAATGGGTTGGACTCAATGATCTTGAAGGTCTCTTCCAACCTTATGATTCTGTGAGTTCCTGACTCCAAATGGGGAACAAACCACAGATTGCTAAATAGCTGGCAATGTGTCAATTGTCATGGTTTGACAAAGTGCATTTTCTCAGTAAGTTATGGTCAAACCAATCAGTAGTCAGGTTTGGATACTGGCGTTTAGAGTGACCACTGAAGGCATTAGACATGCCTCTGAGAGCACAGGGGATTAAAAGCAGAGAACTCCCAGGGGAACTTTCTCTTCTGTTCTGCTCAGTGAAGAGTTCAGACCTCCCTGCCCAGGGAAGGGAAGCCAGGTGGCCTGTGGCTGAGGGAGGCTGGAACCCCAGAGAGAGAGGGGGGTGAGGGGAATGGAACCAGGCCAGCCCCCCACAGGCCAGAAGGATGGAGAAACACTGAGATGTCCCAAGCAGCCTCCCAGAGTTGGGGGGAGAGAGAGAGAGAAAGAGCCCATTCCACCTGGAAATTTGATATCATGTGCTGGCAGTACCGAATAGAAGACAGAGGTAGGGGAGAAGAAGGTGCCCAGCCTTCTGTGAGATCTCAGCTGTCCTGAAAACCCAAGATGTTTAAGCCTTTCCTGAGAGAAAAAGGCTTTACAAAACACTACACCTCCTCGATTTAAAAGAGAAAAAAGACAGTCTAAGACCTGAGATGTTAAAAGAAGAAATCTTAAGTAGGAGGAGATGATGGAGTGGCCTTAGCTAGATTTTTCTTGTATAGCCATAGACTGAACCAATTTCTCCTGCAACACAAGAGACTACATTTTCAAGAGGATGCAATAACTTGAGCCAAGACAGTGCAGGAGCAGAGTAAACACAGAAAAAAATGAGAAGGGTGTAGTAGTGCCCTCTGTCTTCAAGGAAGAAGATCTCTGTTCTCAAGACCCTCAGCCCCAGGGGAGGAGAAAATTGAGACTGTTTGTCCCAAGATGAGAAACTGTTGTTCTTTTAGTCCTTAGCTGTTGGGTGAGATCGTCGCGGGAAAACAAGTTCATGATTATCATGGTCAACAAGTTTTCAGTTTATTGGAGTCGATTACTGTTTCTTTATACAAGCACTAACTAGTTCATACATATTGCAAAAGCGAAGCTCAGGATTGGTTACCTTTCTATTAACACATATATCTCTTTGCGATAAGCCTTGCGGTTACTGCTTCTTTATACTTGATTACTTTTCTGCATACTAAGCAATATTTCATTTTTAACGAGACACCTGTATGCTCAGGGTTGTTAGGAGATATCTGTTTCTCAAGGTTGTTAGAAGACATCTGTTTCTCAGGGGTATAGTTTTCGTGCTACTAGTCACGTATTCTCACACTCTCATCAACTTAACTTTTTCGTGTCCCTTGCTGCGCAGCCATTCTTCAGCTAAACTCTCAACACTTAGCAAAGCATCCTTAAAAGGAACCCTATGAGCAGTTTCAGTCCATGCATGGTGGTGAGAGCACTGTAACATAGAAAAGAAGGTATCACAATAGCAGATTTTCTCCAGGCAGTTGCCATGTGTGACATGGAAACACAAGAGTTTGCAATTGTGTTTCCTAGGGGTCTCTAGTACAGGAGAGACTCCTCTCTCCCTTGATGAACTAAAAATTAATTATCTGAAAGGTGGTGACTTGATCAAGAATTCAGAGTTATTACTCACTGTATTTTAGGAGAAATTAGGTAGGGGAGAGGAGGAATGTTTTGAGAAGGTTTTCATTCTAGATTCTCTGTGTTTTTTTTATTATAGTAGTAGAGTAATAAAGTTTTTTCCTTTGTTTTTAAGCTCAGGTGTCACTGTGCCTTCCCAACACTCAAGCCTGCTCTGCTCTGTTCCTGATCACATCTCACAGCACTCATTTAAAGAAAGTGCATTTTCATGGGAGCACTAGCATTGCACCAGCATCAAACAATGACAGTCAACTAGCTATTTTTCAAAGTTGGGCTTAGTTAGGAGTTTCAGTTTGGGAGACTGCTCCTTTGCCCATGTTCTGGTGGGTGTTGTGTTATTGTTCTGTTGACGGCTGCTTTGTCACATGACAGTTCCCTGGGCAAGCTGTCAGGGTCTGACCAAGCTGTGTTCTCCTTGGACCTGAGGGTTGCTTTGTCTTTCCAGGTTAACAGGAACAAGAAAGATATTTCTGGGACTGTGATGGAGGATGCTCAAGAGATTGGCAAGCTTGGAGCCAGATCCACACAGCACACTTGCCACACTGCTCTGAAGAAGCCTTCAAATACATCTCAGAGAGCAGGAGGGGTGTGTCCAGTGCAGCCAGGGAACAATGCGATGTTTCCTGCTTCTGCACAGGCTAGAGGCATGCTCCCATCTTCAAGCTCTGGTCAACTAAATCCAGGCAGGAGCCAGAAGTTTGCACAGGAGACTGTCACTGCAGCAGCACCTCAGGTGGGAAGTGACCACCCTCCTCCAGGAGCACCTCACACCCTAAATGTGGGGCTGCAGGACAGGCTTGTCTGCAACAAGGAAAACCACAGCCCACAAGCCTCCACATCCTCAGAGCTGATCAACACTTTCCAACCTATCAGAACTCAGCCATTGCAGCCCTCTCAGTTCCTTCCTACTTCTGCTAATTTGATACATAAAAACCCAGGGACAAAGCAGGAAGAAAGGACTGATGTGAGGCAACCTGTCACAGCTCCAAGGGGAAGTCTTAAGCAGCACAGCCAGCCTCACCCAGTGAGAAGATTTCCCGCCAAGCCTCCCACCTTGGGCAAGCCCCAGGGCAGCACAAACCTGAAATCCAACCGGAACCCAGGTGTCACTTTGCCATGGCCAAGGCCCATGGTTAAAGAAGTGACGGGCAGGAAGGACATGAAGGTGGTGCCTCCTCGACACACAGCAGCATCCCAAGGAACAAGCCACCCAAACCAGTCTCCCAGCTTACACAACTCCAAAACTCACGTCCTTGAGGATGATTTGAGAAGTAGGAGTGAACAGCTTAAACCAGAGCTGCCCAAGGCAAGTGGCATGCAGGCTAGGCGCATTCCAAGGATCCCATCAGCTCCAGATCGTAAGTAAGTGGCAGCTCTGGCCACCTGGGTCCTCCCTCCATGAAGCCAGCAGAGTTTAAAGGGTTTAACTGGCTGAGTCAGCACTATCCTGCTGAAAATGGAATCCAAAGTCTTTTATCAGCCCCAGCTTGTTGGGAGGTTGGTGCTCTGAAAAATATGGGGTTGGGGATAGTGTTGGGTGGCACCCTGGGTTCCTCTCCCACCAATTCAATAAGTGGAAGGAGAGGGTGGCCACTCTCCTGCTTTAGTCTCAGGGCTTCTGCTTCAGAGTGTTTTCCTCTCCCTGTCTAGAGCTCAGGTGTGTTTCTGAGATAGCTATACTGATTTTTTAAGCAGCTGAAGTTTGCTAAAGGAAGACTGCAAGGAAAAACAGGCAGCTCTTGCCAAGCTACTGTCTGCTGGGGTGGTAACTGTGATCTCTCCATCCTTGGACAGGAAAGAGCTGGAGGAGTGGGTGGCATCCAAAGGCAAGACCTACAAGCGGCCACCAATGGTGCTGCTTCAGAAGCAGGCAGTGAAGCCATCCTGCATAAAGGTCAAAGCAAAGGAGAAGCAAGAAAATCCAGAGAAGTGCTGCCAAGAAAAGATCAACAACATATTAACTGAATGCCAGAAGCTCATTGAGGAGGTGGGAATAGGAAAGGAGCTGCTTGAGTGAGCTTTTCCTGTCCTGAAGTATGCCAGGGATGAGGGCCGTGTCCCTCCAGTAGCTAAGAGGGATTGGGAACAAGTGTTCAGTTGCCAGAGGGGAAACACAGGAAAATAAAAGTCCTCAAAAAGTTATGGGTAGGCCAAAGGCATGCAGTGAGCTGTGCTGATTGGGAGAATGGAGAGATACCCTGTCAAAAACGACAGGTTTAACCCCAGCCAGCAGCCAAACCCCATGCAGCTGCTCAGGCAGTCCTCCACCAGTAGGACTGGGGAGAGAATCATAAGGGTAAAAGGCAAAGAATTGATGGGTTGAGGAAAAGACAGTTTCATTGGGAAAGCAAAAGCTGCACACACAAGCAAAGCAAAACATCAACTCCCTCCCATGCCCAGTTAGGTGTCCTACCACCTCCAGGAGAGCAGGGCCCCATCACAGTGGCGAGTTGGGAATACAATCAGGCCCTTACCCTTCTCCTTGCAGGGTGCCCATGCAGAGGAGATCTGGGAAATGCTGTCCCTTGTGCCCCAGGCAGAGAAATTTGCCAAATTCTGGATCTGCCAAGCAAAGCTGCTGGCCCGGAGCGGCTCCTTTGATGTGATGCAGCTGTACGTAGAAGCAGTCTGTGCCGGGGCTGAGGTGAGTGGGACATGCCACCTCCCTATGTTCCTGCCTCCGTTCTGGAGGGCTTCCTCGAGATCCAGGCACCAGGTTTTGGAATGAGCTGAGCAGCATTAGCCTCTGGCGAAGAAGCCCTTTAGAGCTGCCAGTCCCATTCCATGCTGCAGGATGTGCCCATGCAGGGTGGGCATGTGGCCGTCTGTGCTGGGTGCTGGTGGATCCCGCTGGGCAAAGGGGAATACTGCAGCCTCTTCCTGCTGTCCTCAGCATAGGCTGTTGCAGTGCAGCAAAAGCCTTTCCTCCTGTTCAGCTGTAACTCTGCTTTCCATTCCCATGCTAGACCTGCCCTGACCCATGTTCTTCTTTCCCTGCAGCCAATTGAAGAGGTCAGGAGAGCTGCTATAAATATTTTGAAGAATGGAGGCCAAAAACTGGAAGGTAACCTGAGTGTTGTGGGGCTGACTGGAGCACTGGCCGGTGGGGGTTCCCTGGTGTTGCCAGCCTGGAGGCAACACGGTTTACAGTCTGTCCCAGCACTTCGTGTCCCTCCTGATGAGTGTTGTTAAAGCCTGGAAGCCTGATCTGAAAAACGGGACACTTACTCTGGCCTAGGGAGGGTCCTGGCCCGGCAAGCCTCTGCAGGTGGGCACTCTGCCCCTGTCCAGAGTGCCGAGGTGTAATCCCTCGCCTGTGGCTGCTGCAACTGTGTTGCCCTTTTCCTTTCCTGCCAGGAGAAAAGGCAGAGGAACCCATTCTTCAGGAGCCTACCACGCCTTGTCCAGGTGAGAGGCAGTCCACAGTGTCAACTCCAGGCCTGGTGGGGAGACCCATGACCTCCCTTCCCTCCTCAGTGAAGTTACAAGTTACATCTGCATGCAGGTAAGGCTGTACCTCCTGCTCCAGGTAGCACACATCCTCTATGCCAGTGGTCCTCTGCAGAGTTTACCCAAGGGTTTTCTTCTCTGCACAGAGGAAGGAAATTCCTGGAAGGCTCAGAATTGAAATTTGTAACACCCGTGCGGCGCTCACAACGGATTGAGAGGGTTGGGAGTCACTACCCAGAGATGCTGAAAGACCATGACCCTGTGGTGTCATCCCTCAGTGAAATTCTGGATGCTGAGGAGGAGACTTGCTTCTTCTTCCGGAAAAACAAGGCTTTGCCAGAAGTGACAGAGCTGGAGGGTTTGAGTTCTTATCCCCCCAAGAGCTCCTGAGAAGTTCCCAGCAGGTATAGGCTGCCTGCCCACTGTGCTGCCTCGTACGCACTCCCTTGACTGCTCTTGCTGTCCCACAGATGTAGAGGGGAGGGGATAGCAGAGAATAAGCATGTTTCAAATATCTAATTGCAGTTTTAAACATCTAATTGTAGTCTTAAACATTAAACTTTGCAGTGGAGATGTGTGTGGGCTGGTGAGTGGCGTGGAGACACCAGCTGTGTCTCGTGGGATTGTGTCCCCCAGAACTGCCCTCAGCTCCTCTGCCATGACACACACTTCTGCTTTTCCTGCTGTAGAATGGTGTCAGTTGGATTACAGTGGTCCAGGCACCTCCCAGTGTCTGGAAGCAATGTCCTGAGCAATTTGCTCTGGAACAGTCTTGTGCCCCACCTGGACAATATCTGTGTGTCCCCTACTGAGAGGCAGACCCAGTGTCTGTAGGCACAGGTGGCAGCAACGGCTGTACCTGAGCAGCTGGGGGACCTGCAGTGCCCCAGCAGCTTCTGTGCAGGCTCCGAGGCTGATAGCAGAACCAAGGGTTGCAGAGGACCTTGGGGTACAGCAGGCCAGGTCCCCAGCTCCTGGGGACAGATGAGCCCTGTAAATGCACGCAGGCCCCGTCTGCTGCTGTCCCTGCACTTGGAGCAGGCAGCAGCACAAGGTACCAGGCAAGAACTTGGAGGTACTTTCTGCTGTGAAGAGTGACCATAGGGCAGTTGTGGAAGGTGGGGGAGCCCTACTGTCACCCACCCAGCCCCAGCAAGCAGTGGTCCTGGCCCCATCACGCTCTTTTCCTCCTCTCTCCCTCACCCCAGCCTTGGTTCAGCATCTCTATGGATGCTGGCAGAAGTCTCAGACCAGTGTCCCAGAGTTCTGGCATGCGGCTGGCTCCACTCTGTGGAGTGCTGCTGGCCTGGCCCCCTCTGCAGAGATGGGGATAGCTTGGGGCTGCCACCTTCTCCCTAGGAGCTTGTGCTTGTCCCAGCTGCTGGGCAAGGACTTGGGGACTGCCCTTTGCCCCCATCTCTCAGGTGCAGGGACAAAGCAGTTTTCCTTTAAAACCAATTTTATATCTCTGCAGTTACCAGGAGTTTTGAGTATCTTTTATAAATAGAAAAGGGTAGAAAGAAGAAAAGAAGAACAGCAGGTGAAGGGGCAGGTGTCACCTCCAGAGCCCCCCGCTCCACCCAGCATTGCAGTGCTCATGGCCAGGCCCAGAGGCTAAAGGGGCAGGAGCTGCTGGGACCCCAGCTGCTGCAGTGGGGCTTCCAGTGATACTGCAGTAGTGGCACCGCCTGTTCACCCTGGTTGGATGCTCCCAGGCTGGCATTGAACTGGTGGGAGAGGAATGAGTTAAAGGGGCACCAGGTAGATATGAATTCAAGGGGCAGGAGCTAGCAGACCTGGGGACCCTCTCCTGGCTCTGGGCAGAGTCAGGAGAAGGTCCCAACTGCCCAGGGACAGGTGTGACAAGGGCCACCAGCCATCCTGTGGCCACCAGAGGTGGTAGCTGGCCATGAGTGCAAGTGGTCCAGGGCCACCGAATGTCCTCCCGTGGGCAGCATGGCAGCAGTTGCATTGTGCTCAGGCTTCTCCATCATCTTCCTCCTCCCCACTTGAGTCCTGGGAGACCTGAGGCAGTCCAGAAGGGGCTCAGTGGACACAGGACCCCAAGTGTAGCAGGATGCCCATGTCCTTCTGCCCCTCTGTTCCTGTCACCCACCTGCTGGCCAGGGTCACCATGCTGGGCCAGCCAGGGAGGAAGGGCAGTGACCGCGTCCCCTGAGTCCCGGTGAGAGTGCTCCACCGTTGACTCATGGGCCATCTGCAGGGGGGTGGACAAGGCTCCTAGAGAGAGGCTGGCACCAGCCAGCCAATGGTTTGGGTGCCCACCCAACACCTCTATCAGTCCCATGCCCCCTCAGGCAGGGAGGGAAACTGAGGCACAGTGGGTGACCAGCAGGGCCTGGGGGCTGCGTACCAGGACAGGGGGTGCCCGGAAGAGGTAGCTGAAGGGGTAATAGAGGAAGTTGATGAAGGAGGCAGCATAGAGGTCTGCATAGCGCATCAGCTGGTTGGCAAAGAGCGTCTGACGTGAGCCACAGCGGAACAGGCTGCCCATCTTCCCGTAGCACATGTCCATCTCATGTGTGACTTTCTGTGGGTGCAGCAGGACAGTCAGGGCACCCGATGGCCCCTGGAGGCCCCCCCACAGAGGAAGTTGTGGCAGGGGGTTGATCTGAGCTGTGTGCCAGCAGGCACAGTGCCCTGGGTATCACCTGGATCCGACGCTTGATGGAGCTGATGTCTGGGCGCTCACTACTGCCACTGTCCAAGTGCCTGAAACGGAGCAGACCCGATTTAAGGGCTCACCTGGAGGGTTCCCCGCAGGTGCTTCTATCCCTGCCTGTTTCCCACCCCAATCGACTCACTGGTACAGCTCAGCCAGGAAGAGATCCAGGCTCCGCAGCTCCTCAAACAGCTCTGCAAGGGCAACAGGGCCAGCTCAGTGCAGGAGCATCACCCACTGCCCAGCACAATCAACAAAGAGGGTCAGGGCATGGCCCACTCAGGCAGTTTTGCCATCGAAGGGTGTAGGAGGCTCCAGGCCACGTCCCCTTGAATGGTAAAGCCTGTGTCCCCAACCCAGCACTGCTCACCACTCTTCTCTGTCCAGACCTGCAGCTCACGGGCCAGCTCGGGCACCACCAGAAAGGTTCGCCAGCCCTGCCGCTTCTTGGATTTGAGAATGTCCCCAAAGATGTGGTCCCCCATGTAGAGGATGTCTTTGCCCTTCACACCCAGGAGGTCACACACCACATCTGAGGAGCCTGTGACAGCCAGGGGTCACAGTTGTGGGGGTGGGCATGTCCCCCTCTGCTGCCCACAGAGCCCAGACAGAGCCCAGCTGGCTGCTTACCACCGGAGTACACAGCACAGTGCTGGAGAGGGCCAGTGTATGTCCCCATGCGCAGCTTCCCTGTGTCCTGCAGGACGGAGACACTGTTACCTGTGCCTCCTTGGTGTCCAATCAGCTGTGAATCTACTTTGCTGTGCCCACAGGAGCCCCTCAGTGCCTAAGTAGTGCCCACCACCCCGGCTAGCCCTGCAGCAGGGGAGAGGTCCCCACCGTGTCAACTTGGCGCAGGACAGTGCCCTCAGCAAAGAAGAGGGGCTTGCGGGTGTCCACCACAATCAGGTCAAAGTAGGACCTCCAGGGGCGCCGTGGGACATCAGCCTGTGGATGCCGGGTCGGGGGTCAACGAGAGGATGCTGATCACACCCTGTGCCCCCCACCCAGCCCACACTGGGGACAGACTCACCTTGTCCTCATTGCTGAAGTCGAACAGATAGGACATGATGGCCTGCAAGGACATCTGGCATCATCACTGCTGCCCCCAGGCAAGGCAGACCTCTCGGGGTCTGGAGGTCAAGGTGACTCCGAGAATGCAAAAGTCCTTGCTTCCCAGCCCACGCAGCCAAAGAAGTCGGAATGCCCAAAGTAGGCTCAGCTTCTCAAGGTTGTTTATTTTTCTTATCTCTAACGCACTTTCTCAAGGAGCTGCGGTCTGTCTAGCAGGTCAGTCTGTGGCAGACTCCCACACCCTTGGGCTGGTGTTAGCATTTTATACCAAAAACTACATGTACTATGTTTGCAATAATGTGCCAATATCTGTCATTTATGTTGGACAGTGTGTCTCTACCTTAAACCAATAGAAAAGTGTCACCATCATAGCAAGACATGGAGGGCAAGGAGAAGGAGATGGTCAGGACACGCCCAAATCCCTCCATCTTGTCCCCTTGAACCCCTTCTAAAACACTAAAATTCTACTTTTTCACCCTATGTTAATCCAACTCCCACACTACTCAAACCCTTGTGGCTTGTTAATTCCTCATACAAAGTTGGCAGTTTTTTCCACAGGCTAAAATCAAAGGCACAGGTGTTTTTGACTTCATGCCAAGGTCTCCGAGCCCCCTGCCAGGGTCTCAAGACAGCCATGGCAGCCAGAGGGAGGTCCTGGGTTCCCACACAGACCCTGCCTGTGCTTCAGCACAGCCCCTGTGCCTCCCCCACGCAGGGCAGGCTGGACCCTAACCCTAACCCTAACCCCCTCCCCCCACGCAGGGGGACATGGACACCCCCTACTCACATCAGTGTAGGTGTAGTCACTGTTGGTGGCCAGGAAGACCTTCCCCACCTCCTTCATGCGGCTCAGCAGCAGCGGCACACGGGGCTAGTGAGGGGCAAGTCAGTGGTGGGGAGTGCAGGTGGGGCCACAAGAAATTGAGGGGAGCAGAGTAGGGAGGGGTCCCTAGGGTTCTGTACAACTCACATCCTTCACCACATATTTCTCCAGGTTCTCTAGCGTCTTCTCCTTGAGGCAGCCCTGCAGAAAGAATGGGGTGGGGCTGGCCAAAATCTCCCAGGGTGTGTGTGTGGGAAAACCCTGTCAGCACCCACCACCACCAGCCCCTTGTCCATTGCACCCACAGAGAGGTGGACATGGTCCATGGCCTCGCGCACATCCTGGTACATGCTGCGGAAGGACATGAAGAGGTTCCCATGCTTGTAGCCGGTGTCACAGCTGCAACAGTCAGGAGTGGAGGGGGTGAAAGGGCTGCCCTGCTAAGGGAAGCTCCCCCCAAGATTTACACCTGTCCAATCCAATACCAAGCCCCCACCCACCACCTCCCTCTTACTTGACATATCTGGAGCAGTTGGTAAAAAAGTCCACGAGACAGGCATAGAGGTGGGCCTCTGTGAGGGAGGAGGCTGTGAGAGGGGGTGCAGGGCAGGACAGCACCCTAGGGTGGTGGGGAGAGCCAGGGCAATGGGGGTTCTCACTCACCTGTGAGGTTGAAGAGGGTGTTGAGGATGTGGAAGCGTTTCATGTCATCCCGCTGGATGAACTTGTTGGGGTAATAGTGGAGGATTTCGGCTCTGGGGAGAGAGCACGGAGCTGCATTCCACCCTGAGGGATCCCCAGCTTCCCCCTGCCCCGGGGGTGGTAAATTCCCAGACTCACCCCTTGAGGAAACGGAAGCCATGGGCACAGACCAGCAGGTTCCCGTGGGAATCCACCTTCAGCAGGTTCCCGTACAGGGCATCAAACACCAGACCCCTGCATCACACAGCTGTCAGTGGGTGGGGGGCCCACTTCCCCTCCCTTCCTGTCT